AGGAGGAGGAGGAGGAGGAGGAACCTACAGACACGGATTATCACACACTGGGCGGGGAGCGCGTGCTTCCTCCCCCACGATAGGGCTCCCTCCCACTCGGCCCCAGACACGGATCATCACATACTGGGCGGGGCGCGTGCTTCCTCTTCCACAATTCGATTCTTTCTCATTCGGCCCGCAAGCGCGGATGACCACATACTGGGGGCGCGCGCATCCCTCCCCCGTAGTATCACACACGGATTATCACACTGGGCGGGGGCGCGTGCTTCCTCGCCACAATCGGATTCTTCCGCATTCGGCCCACGTACGGATGATCACATACTGGGCGGGGACTCGGCTTCTCTCCCCCCAGAATACCTCTTCGTTCGGCCCACAAACACGGATCGACATACTGGGCGAGGGGCGCGCGCTCCCCCCCCCCCGAGTCGAACTCTTTCTCAGTCGGCCCACATGCACGGGGTATTCCATACCTCTTCCTCCTCCTCCTTCCCCCCCCTCCTCCCTCCCCCCCCTCGGGTTTCCACCGCGGGTGTGCCACTGCGGAGGGAGGGGTGCAAGGGTGAGGGGGGAGGGAGGGAAGGAGGGAGAAAGGGGTTAGGAAGGAACGAGTAAGGATAGGGGGGCGGAGAGGGAGGGGGGAAGGAAGGAGGGGGGGCGGAGGGGGGGCCGCAATATGCCAGGAAGGGCTCCCGCGGGGAAAAGCCGAGGGAGCCCCCGAAGACGCACCCCATGCCCCGTCACATCTCCGGCGAGACCTAGCGACTGGGGGACGGGCCGCTTCAGGGCTTGTCGAATCAGCACGCGAAGCCTGCAGCGGCCCTGCACACTCAGAGGCTTATCTTCCCACTGCTGTCCCGCGAAGGACACGACTGGCCGGCTTCAGGTTCCGGGTGGCCTCGAGGACGCCGGCGAGGGGGAGGTCCACACTGTACTTCTGCCTGCGTCCGCCGACCTTCCACCAGCGGCACCGCCCGCGCTTTACTCCCACAGGCTTCCGAGGGCCTTTCCGCTGGCTTCGGCCGAACTCCAGGAAGCCCCCTTGCCTTAGCTATCCAAATGAAGGAGTAGGAGGAGGATCGAAGTGGACCGAACACAGATCACTGATGCTGCAACACCAACACCCACGTCCAGGGTGCCGAGAAAACATGGTTTTAGGAATGCGAGGCATTCGGTTAAAACGGTTCATTGAAAGTTTTTCAAGAAGTTGGCAGGAACGATTGGTCCTGGTCAGGGGTTGAGGTTTCCCTCCTCCTCCTCTTCCTCCTCCTCCTCCTCGTCCTCCTGCTCCTGTCGAACAGAGGTGGCTGTCTCGGGCATGTCGACCACACGTACCGTCCACCATTACACGGTGCCTTCAACGGTCCCCGCACAGGCTCTGGGACCACAAGGGTTGCCACCCCAATCTTCACGAGCACCGCTTCAGGATGGGAGAGCCCATGTACCCCATCCGACTGACAGGGTCATGCCTACCCTCAAGGGCATCAGCGCTACACTACGATCCTCCTCCTCCTCCTCCTCCTCCTCTTCCTCCTCCTCTTCCTCCTCCTCCTCCTCCTCCTCTTCTCTTCTTGCGAGAGCGACCCGTGCCCGACTTCGGCCGTTCAACCAGCTGGAGAGGCACCGTGGGCCCCGCCTCTTCCCCCGAGCTCCCGATTGGCATCTCCCTCGGGCCGATCGCTGCGACGACGACGACGGCGGCGGACGAGGAGGCAACGAAAGACTTAACGACGACGTCGACGTCGACGTCGACGACGACGTCGACGTCGAAACGACGATCGACCGATGTTCGTAGTACCGATGACAGACCGACGGCGTTTATGACAACCAACGACAACAAAAAACAACAATCGTGTTACCCTCATGCGCGATGTTTCCACACGAAGCATGCGTCCATCATGATAACCATCCACACAATGGGGGACTCTTGTTCTATAGCGGGGTCCGTGATTCCCATTCCCAGATCTCCCGCTCAATGAGGTCTTGCGGACACCTCCTCCGAGGAATGTCAACATATCCCACCTCGAAAACACATGCCCACGCCTTGCTGCGCCGATGCGAGACCGCCACTGGAACACCAGCGAAGGGTGAAGCACAAGGCAGTATCGAACGACAGGGTTGCCTTGGTGGGGATGGGGGCTGTCGGCGGTGAGGCAAGGACCTGGCCCTGAATAGAAAAGGAGGAAGTCTCGAGCAAGGCTGCTGTTGTTGCTGGGATTCGCACCGATGCTGAGGAGAAAAGGGCGCTAGTCCAGCGTGAAACAAAACGGCGTCGGGAACGCTGGTTTTGTTGGGACGGCGGTTTTCGGCGGCGAGGAGGAACACCGCCTTGAGTAAGAATGGGGGAAGCATCGAACGGGAGCTGTGGTTTTGTCGGGACGGGGGCTGTCGGCGGCGAGGAACAGCACCGCCCTGAGGAAAAAGAAAAGGCATCTCGAGCGGGAACGTTGTTCTTGCTGGGAACGGCGCCGGATCAAATGAGAATGGGGCGCCATTCTAGCGTAAAACGGAAGGAAGTCTCTGGCGGGACAGCTGGTTTTGTCGGGGCGGCGGTTTTCGGCGGCGAGGAGGAGCACCGCCTTGAGTAAAAAAGGGGACGCCTCGAGCGTCAGCCGTGGCTTTGTCGGGACGGGGGTTGTCGGCGGCGAGGAACAGCACCGCTTTCAGGAAAAAAAGAGGCGGCCTCGAGCGGGAGCGCTGTTGTTGCTGGGAGCGGCGCCAGTTCAAAAGAGAATTGGGCGCCAGTCCAGCGTAAAACGGAAGGAAGTCTCGGACGGGAGCGCTGGTTTTGTCGGGGGGGCGGTTTTCGGCGGCGAGAGGCGCACCGCCCTGAGCAAAGAAAGGGGGACGCCTCGAGCGGGAGCGTTGTTTTTGCTGGGGGCGGCGCCGATGTCAGAAAGACTAGCGCGCCAGTCGAAGGCAAACTGGGAGGACGTCTCGAGCGGGAACGCTGGTTTTGTTTGGACGGCGGCTTTCGGCGGCGAGCCAAAACACCAGCCCTGAGCAAAAAAGGAGGACGTTTCGAGCAGGGGCGTTGTTTTTGTCGGGGGGCCGGTATTGGCGGTCCCCCAAACCGCTCGAGCGTGAGCCTCATTTTCAATGAAGACGTAACCGGCGCCTCGGCGAGAGTGCCAGAACGCCTTTAAGGGGTCCAACAATAATAATTACTTAGTAATTAGCACTCAACAACAACAGCAATCATTTCAAGACTGTTCGCTCTTATCTGCTCGTGTTTCAGTCAATATGCACATCCCAAGCCCTGGACGCCCGCCCTCTTCGTTTTCGATCGTGCCCCCTTCCGGGGGGCATATTCATTCCTTGTCGCGCGCGGTCGGTGAAGCCCCTGAGAACGAAAGGCAACAGATGACGGGGGATAATGAGGACGAAGGGATCGGAGGACGGGAAGGGAGGGGCAAGAAGGAGGGGGGACGATGATTTGCGCTGCGAGTGGCGATTCAGCTTGCGCCATGGCTTGCGCCAGCCACTCCAACACAAGTTAAACATAAGTTTCGCCATGGGTCGCGCCATAAACAGAGCCACGCACAGCCCCCTTGAAAGAACGCATCGTGGATACCCCCGCGGGGGGACGTACAGCTGCGAACCGATGTCAGAAACAATTTCGTGGAACCCTGAAAAGAAGCAAGATGTTGGGAGAGCAGGGCGGAAGAATAGCGAAAACTGCAACCGCGTCGACAGGGGCGCGGGGATGTGGAGTGGATTGGGATGGAGTAGACACGAGTAGGGTCTCAAGATGAGCAGCGGCAAAGAGTGGAGAAGAGGAGCCGGGAGGAGTGCGGAGGAGCGGGGGGTGGAGGAGGGGCTGGGAATAATTTTGGCGAAATGCGGAATGCGAGCGGGAAGGGGTGGAGATTGTTGGGGCGGGATGGGGCGGCCTGGGGAGGAGTGGGCGGGATGCCATGAACTGAGGAGTAGCACAATTGAGTACGAACGACGCGAAAATGAAGATTAAGGGAAAGAATCGAAAAGACTGGGAAACATTGTTGAAAAGTGAAGGCAGGTGGATGCGAGCGGAAACCGGTGCGGAAACAAGGCGCGGGGGGATTGGAAAACACCCGAAGGCCTCCTATGACCTCTGCGGGGCCTCGGAGTGGCCCCGATGACCACCGAGCAGTTCCAGAGGACGCCCTGGGGGCCTCGTCGAGGGAGTCCTTCATTCGAAGCCTGCAAAAGAACCTGGGCCAGTGGAACACGCGCCCCAAAGGCTGGCAAACCGGGCCCCGGCAAGCGGCGGCCGCGATCCGGGCAACTGCATCCGGCAAGCGGCGGCCGCGATCCAGGTAAATTGTAAGGAAGTATCAGGCGGGAGCCGCGATCCGGTGGTAAATTGCAAGGAAGTCCCAAGCGAGAGCGCGATTCTTCAATAAATTGTAAAAGAAATATCAGGCGGGAGCCGTTGTTGTTGTAAACCGGGGCCAACGACACAGTTTGACCTTCAAGACTTTCCCCGATAAAAAACAAGGTGTGAGCCCCGGGAAAGGCACTGCAATCGAAAAAAAAAAACAATGTGCACCGGACGGGGGGGATCAACAATAATTATTCTTCAAAAATGAAAGTGCAACAACAACAAAAACAACAACATCATCAACAACAACATAACAACATAACAACATATCAACATAACAACAACAACAACATCATCATCATCATCATCATCATCATCATCATCATCATCATCATCATCAACAACAACAACAACAACAACAACAACAACAACAACAACAACAACAACAACAACAACAACAACAACAACAACAACAACAACAACAACAACAACAACAATAACAACAACGACGACGACGACTGCAACATCAACAACAACAACAACGACGACGACGACGACGACGACGACTGCGAAAGCAACGACCGACCAACCGACAACCGACTGACGATTCCGACCTTCGACGAAGACCCGCGACCGACGCCGACGACCAGGGCCGTTCCGGCGCGCCGCAGCGCGCCCGCCGCCCAGTCCGGCTCGGAACCCTCGCCGCGGGCCCGGACGCGGCCTCCTCGCGGGGCTGCGGGGCTGCGGGGGCGGGGACGGAGGCCCCCCAGAAGGGGAGTTCCAGCAGATGGGGTCCGAGGGCCGAGCCGCATCGCCGATGCATTGCGGATGCATCGGCCAGGCATCCGCGACATCGGCGGTGCATCGGCGCCGTCGGCGCGGGCTCCACGTCAAGCCGCATCGCCGCCGCATCCGCGATGCGGCGCGACCCTCCGACCCCGTCAACCCGGACCCCAACGGCTAGAGGGGCGCGGCGGGGTCTGGAAGAAGCGGGCCGACCGCCAGGATCTGTATTTCGGCCACTCGGAGAGGGGGGTGGGGGGAGGGGGCAGGGCTTTTAGAAGCACCCCTGCTTCTTAGAAAACGCGGGCCTTATCTATAGATGTAAGGCCGGCGCCTTCTAAGAAGCAGCCTCCTTCTAAGAAGCCCTCCCCCTTCCCTCCCCCCCCCTTGTGCGCACCGCCAAATATGTATCGTTTGCGCGTCCTCCACGGGGGAGGGCAGGCGGTACGGGGCGGAGAGTACCCCGAGCCGAGGCTGGAAAAGCGCCGAGAGCCGACGAACACGTCCGAGACACCTCGCACCCTTCACGCCCGACCCCCTCTCTGGGCCGGCCACCCCAGGAAGGCGAGGGCGCCGTCACTTGGCGGCGCGCACAAGGGGGTGGAAGGAGGGGGGTTCTTAGAATAAGGCTGCTTCTTAGAAGGCGCCGGCCTGACATCTACAGATAAGGCCCGCGCCTTCGAAGAAGCAGGGGTGCTTCTAAGAAGCTCCCCCCCTCACCCCACCCCCCTCTGCGCGTGGCCGAAATATGGGGCGGAGAGCACCCCGAGCCGAGACGCCTCGCACCCACCACGCCCGACCCCCCTCCCTCTCTGGGCCTCGGCAGCCACCCCAGGTGGTACGGCAGCGACTTGCTGGTTTGGGTGGGATAAGGCATTTCAGCCTGGTACCCGACATGGTGTGGTTTCAGAGTGGTCCCCAGCTTGGGGCTTGGGGGCTCTACTATGTTCCAGCACGAGCCACTCGCACGTGGCCTCGGCCGGGCACGTTTTGGAGGCGCGAGCAAACATCGTAAGTGCGCATTCGCACTGATCCGAAGAGCGCCCTCGCCCTCCTGGGGTCCCCAGTAGGGAGGGGGCGCCGTCCGCCCCCCAGCGAGGCCCGAGGCTCGGCGGGAGCCGACGAACACGTCCGAGACACCCCGCACCCCTCACGTCCGACCCAACTCTCTGGGCCTCGGCGGCCACCCCAGGAGGGCGAGGGCGCCGTCACTTGGCGGCACGCACAAGGGCAGGGGCACGGCGCGCCGGGCACGCCGGGCGACAGCGCCTGACCCGCCACGGCCTCATGCATCGCAAGATCACCCGACTGGCAGGGGCTGCCAGGCGATGCCGCCTCACTGGTAGGCTGGCCGAGCTGGGTGGGCAAGCGGCAGGAGGCTACAGGCACCAGATCCACGGCGTCTTCGGCACCCGGATGCAGCTGTTCCGACGCCGTCTCGGGGGCGCGCTGGGGCCGCGCACGCCAGGGAGCTGCCTCACCACTCTGCTGGACCTGAAGGCTGGCGGCCGAGACCCAGCCAGAAGGTTTCCCAAGGAGGCCATCCACCAGTGGCTGACGACGTGGATCCACGCAGGACCCATGCAGAAGACGATCCAACACACATGGCGCCAAGTTGTCCAACACTTCCGCCAACTCCCCGCTGGCCAACGGGTCCAGACTGTACCTCATGGAGACTGGATGGAACCCGCGGGAGCCCAATGCGTAGGACCTCCCCACTCAGCCAAGCATCGACGTGCAGGACACCTGGGAGTTGGATCCGACAGGACTCACAGGTAACCCAGCCGTCGACATGCACGACCTCGACGGCAGCATCCAGGCACGATACTGGAAGCAGGTCAGCGAGCACTACGGCGGGTCGGGGATGGCGGAGGGAATCGACAACATATCATGCCGAGATTTACCTGGGCATCTCGAGAAGATGCCGAATGGGAATAGGCTCTCGACGTTGATGGTGACCGTCGCAGCTGGTGCAACATGGCCGAAAGGCAGAGTCCAGGACCAGATCAGCGCAGTCCCAACCTCAGACGGGCTCTGCCCACGATGCGAACAACACAACAAAACAGCGCTCCACCGTGCCTGAGAGTGCCAGGGACGGAAGACCAGCCTGATCTACGACGCCAGAGACAGCATGATCGGGGTTGCCACCACGCAGCAGGACATGTACACGTGCTTCTGGACCAGAGGCCTCATATTCCAGTCTTGGACGTGGGCCCCGCCACCAGCGGCCCACGAGGACTGGACCACTTACGGCGTCGACGACGACCACTACCTGGACGGGTGTTTCGGTGTCGGCCTCCCAAGGCAACCGCTGCACATCTTCGGCGATGCCAGCGGAGGAGCCGACACGGCGCACTCGACCCTACGACGCGTGGGAGTAACCATCGCGAGCTTCCACGACCTCAACCGTGGCGGCATGGAGCTCCAAAGGGCACCGCCAGACGGTGGTCAGAGGAGAGTTGCTGGCGCTCCTCATGGCCCTGCGAGCGCCGAAGGGCGAGATCCTATACATCACGGATTGTGAGGGAGTCGATCTCAACTACCACAACGGGCACCCCCAGCACCCAGAGGGAGAGGATGCGGACCTATGGCATTGCGTGGGTCAACAGCTCAGAGACAGGCCTACCGATGTTGCCGTACTCCTTGTCGGATCTCATCAGACCGCCGAAGACATCGTCCACGGACGAGCATTGGGGCCACTTGTATACGGCAACAGAGTTGTGGACGAGATCGCAGCGGTGGCCGCCAAGGATCATCAAATACCAAATAAAGTCCGCCATAATATTGCGTTGGTCAAGAATAAAACATACGATTCGCATGCGCCTCCTGAGAGCCACCGTAGAGGCCCTCGAGCACGAGCGTCTCCAGAGGACCCTTGAATGCGAGAGCCGTACGAGTACAGACAGACCCAGACGGGTCAAGGCCCCGAAGGCACATGCCCCAGCCCCGTCTCTGTGTACTGCCTTTAGTTCCTCCCACCAGCTCGACGACACGGGTCGAAGATGTAGAGTGTGTAGGGGATCTGCCAATGCAGCCAAACGTATACAATGGTATAACACAGAGTGTTTCAAGCTAGTAAGCTTAGATGGCACTTATATGAGGCCTCCCCTGGGTAAGTAAATACATGTAGCAAGGGGTAGCATTCACATAACCAGTCAAGCTAAGTTCCACGCTGGGCTGAAACATTGATTTTATTCCGTGTGCGGAATATACGCCTCCCAACACATTAGAAAGCTAGCCGTCACATGTAACACACCCACCACCACTGGGCGGGAATATTTGCGTCGAATTACATTGGAGTCCTGGCCCAAAGCGCTCAGCAAAACTGAGCCGATCCAGCGAGGGGGGAAGCAACAGGCACCTCAATAGGTGCCAGCGTATTCCCATCATCATATCGCTACGCGATCCGGCAGAGTCTCCAGAGTCTCCTCCTCCTCCTCTTCCTCCTCCTCCTCCTCATGGCCGCCTCGCCTCGACCCTCAACCCCTCAACCCTTCGGGTCGGCCTGGCCCGCTGGCCCTTTTCCGGCCCCTGCCACGAAGGAGGCGACTCCCCGGGGAGAATTTTTCAGCCCAGATCAGTGTGCTAACGGCCCCGGGAACCGAGATCGAGCCCCAGAATTGAGAAACAAAACGCACAAAGCACGTCGTCGGAGATCAGGGATTGATTCGTGGCGACTTCCATGTCGCCGTCCCCCCCAAAACTCTTTCCTCCATTTCCACCCATGGGTGCGATTCCCCCCGTCCCTCCCTGGATGCGCTCTTGCCACAATCCCACCAGCCCTCTGGGCGCTGGTGGTCTAGAGCGATTCCTCTTCCGACCCCTTTCTTCCCGTTCGGGGATGGGCTTATCACTGTTCCGTATTAATATACACCCTCTCCCCCAGGCGACTGGGAGCCAACCAAGAACAATGCGGGCACCCCCCACCATCCCTCGTAAAAAACAATACAACACACACTCTGCCTCCAAATTCGGAGCATGCGCAGCGAACCCGATGCGGCCTCCCCCACCACCACTGCCAATAAACAATACAAAGTACACTTGGCGGCGGCGGCGGCTGCGGTTGGGGCAGCGGTTGCGGCGGCTGCGGCGGTGGCGGCGGCGGTGGCGGCGGCGGCGGCGGGGGCGGGGGCGGCGGCGGCGGCTGCGGTGGTGGCTGCGGCGGCAGCGGTGGCGGCAGCGGCTGCGGCGGCAGCGGCTGCGGCGGCGGCGACTCGGCGCGGGGGCGGCGGCGGCGCGGCGGCGGCGGGCGGGGCGGACAGCGGCGGCGGCGCGGCGGCGGCGGCGGCGGCGGGCGGCGGCGGCGGCGGCAGAGGTGGCGGCGGCGGCGGCGGATTCGCCCCTAGTAGCTGCCCATCCAAAAAACGACTGCTGAATATGCTGAAGATCGGGCCAGGCTCGGGTGCTACGTATGTGTTGGGAGGGCGGGTGGGCGTGAGCGAGACGGCTTGCAGGCGGGGAGGGCGTCTTTACCACTGTTCCCTATTAATAAACACCCCCTTCCCCCAGGCGACTGGGGGCCAACCCGGGTCCATGCCGACACCCCCCCCCCACCATCCCTTGTTAAAAATTGTCCCCGCAAAGCAACCTAACAGCGATGTGTAGAAGCATCTCTGAAAGCATTCCCCTTAAGATTCAGATGAAAATCCGGTTGTAGAATTCTGCTGTTCTCGCAGTCGTAGTCGCATTCGCGATGACAGTCGCAGCGCCAACGGCAGTCGCAGTCACAGCCTCAACCTCAGCCTGCCTCAGCCTCAGCCTCAGTCTGCCTTCGGCCTCGGCCTCAGCCTCAGCCTGCCTCAGCCTGCCTCAGCCTCAGCCTCAGCCTCAGCCTGCCTCAGCATCAGCCTGCCTCAGCCTCAGCCTCAGCCTGCCTCAGCCTCGGCCTCAGTCTGCTTCAGCCTCAGCCTCAGTCTGCCTTCAGCCTCGGCCTCAGCCTCAGCCTGCCTCCTGCCTCGACCGCAGCATCAGCCTGCCTCAGCATTCAAAATGTGGCCCAGGAAAGGGAGTTCTGGGAAGTCGAAGAGCACGAAGTTGCCTACAGTTGGCTACGGGCATTCAAAATGTGGCCCGGGAATGGAGTTCTGGGAACTCGAAGAGCACGAAGTGGCCTAGAGTTGGCTCCGGGCATTCAAAATGTGGCCCGGGAATGGAGTTCTGGGAACTCGAAGAGCACGAAGTGGCCTACAGTTGGCTCCGGGCATTCAAAATGTGGCCCGGGAATGGAGTTCTGGGAACTCGAAGACCACGAAGTGGCCTACAGTTGGCTCCGGGCATTCAAAATGTGGCCCGGGAATGGAGTTCTGGGAAGTCGAAGAGCACGAAGTGGCCTACAGTTGGCTCCGGGCATTCAGACTGTGGCCCGGGAATGGAGTTCTGGGAGGTCGAAGAGCACGAAGTGTGCGACTGTTAGCTTAAAACGACTTCTGCGGCACCCTGTCCGGCACCCGCCCAGACCCCCCTGTGGAGTCATCTGCTGCTCTCTTTTTAGCCCATTAGAAACCTATCAGTCTTCGCTGTTAGGTAATTATCCCGGCAAAGCAACCTAACAGCGATGTGTAGAAGCATAGCTGGAAACATTGCCTGTGGTATTCATGTAAGAGTGCTGTTGTAGAATTCTGGTGTTCTCGCAGTCGCATTCGGATTCGCAGTGGCAGTCGCAGTGGCAACATCAGCGGCAGTCGCAGTGGCACTGCCAGTAGTTGCGGTAGCAATAGCTACACTTGCTGCATGAACTCCTCGGTCTTGTCTCGCTTTTGCTGCATGAGCTCCTCGGTCTTCTGCTTCCGCTTGAGCTCCTCGGTATCCGTCTGCTGATCCGCACAACCCAGGGCCCGCAGTTCATGCAAAATGTCTTCGGGGATGCGGTCGCGATGATCCGAGAAACGTTTGGCCAACTTGTTTTCGGCCCGTTCTTGTTCGGACGTTCCTTTATTTCGTTTCGGTATCCGGCCGAACTGCTTCGCGTGCTCGACGAGCGTTTGCAGAGGACCGCTCAATGCAGCATGTCCTTGCATTAAGGTGCGCAGTAGGCGCTGCGCAGTTCCTTTGAAAGGAAATCTTCGAAAGCAGGGCTGTAGCCAAGAAGGCTACGGGGACGATGATGATGATGATGAAGATGATGAGTCTTGGAAGTCTGGGAAGTGGAAGTGGCACGAAGTGGCCTACAGTTGGCTCCAGGCATTCAAAATGTGGCCCGGGAGTGGAGTTCTGGGAAATTTAAGAGCACGAAGTGGCCTACAATTGGCCCCGGGCATTCAAAATGTGGCCCGGGAATGGTGTTCTGGGAAGTCCATGAGCACGAAGTGGCCTACAGTTGGATCCGGGCATCCAAGTTGTGGCCCGGGAACGGAATTCTGGGAAGTCGAAGAGCACGAAGTGGCCTACAGCCGGCTCCAGGCATCCAAAATGTGGCCCGGGAGTGGAGTTCTGGGAAATCGAAGAGCACGAAGTGGCCTACAGTTGGCTCCGGGCATTCAAAATGTGGCCCGGGAATGGAGTTCGGGGAGGTCGAAGAGCACGAAGTGTGTGACTGTTTGCTAAAAATGAGCCCGGCCATCGCCTGTCCGGCTCCCGCCCAGACCCCCCTGGGGAGTCATCAGATGCTTTCTTTTGACCCCGTTAGAAACCTATCAGTTTTCGCTGTTCGGTAACAGTACAAAACACACTTTGCTTCCAAATTCGGAACATGCGCAGCCAACCCGATGCGGCCCCCCCCACCATCCCTGTCAAACAACAATACAAAGTACACTTGGCGGCGGCGGCGGCGGCTGCGGCGGCTGCGGCGGCAGCGGCGGCGGCGGCGGCGGCGGCGGCTGCGGAGGCGGCGGCGGCGGCGGCGGCGGCGGGGGCGGCTGGGGCTGGGGCTGGGGCTGGGGCTGGGGTTGGGGCTGGGGCTGGGGCTGGGGCGGCGGCGGTGGCGGCAGCGGCTGCGGTTAGGCAGCGGGGGGGGCGGCGGCGGCGGCGGCGGCGGCGGCGGCGGCGGCGGCGGTGGCGGCGGCAGCGGCGACGCGGCGGGGGCGGCGGCGGCGGGCAGCGGCGGCGGCGGCGGCGGCGGCGGAGGCGGCGGCGGCGGCGGCGGCGGCGGCGGCGGATTCGCCCCTAGTAGGTGCCCATCCAAAAACGACTGCTGAATGTGCTGAGGCTCGGGCCAGAATCGGGTGCTACGTATGTGTTGGGAGGGCGGGTGGGTGTGAGCGAGACGGCTTGCGGGCGGGGAGGGGGTAACTTGACCCCTCCCCCTACCCCTTCCCCTGGACCTGGACGGGGCGCCCCGCGAGCGGTCAGGGCGTCCAAAACGGCCTCGGCGACGAAGGCAAAATCATTGGTTCTACGATGTTTTTGGCCCCGTTTTGGCCTTATTGGGGGGCGGCGCTAATTGTGGCCCCCCCCTTTTTTTTTCGGAGAGCTCCCCCAGGAGGCCCCGAAGAGGCCAGTCCTTCCAAAACCTTGGGGAAATCAGTGTTTCTGGTTTTCTCGCCTTTTCGCCGCCGATGGTCATCCGAGGCTACAAAATGGCTCCAAGATCCAAGATGGCCCAAGAGGGCTCCAACAGCGCTCCCAAGGATCCCAAGAGCATCCCAACAGGGCCCCAAGAGGCGCCCAGACGGCCCCAAGAGGCCCCAACAGGCGCCCAAGAGGCCTCCAAGAAACTCCCCAGAGACCCCCAAGAGGCCCCAAGAAGCTCTCCGAGGCACCCAAGACGCTCTAAGAGGCGCCCGGGACCGCCAGGAGGCCCCCAAGACGCTCCAAGAGGCCTCCACTGGGGGACCATTCCTCCGTGTGCTGCCCACTTCCCTGATCGAGGCAACTCCTCTGGGCATCGGTTCTGGATGGGCTGGTGGGGCTACTTTTTTCTCACGCGAGCGACGCAGATGGCTGCGCGCCGTCCAAGGGGTCGACTGCAAGAGTCGAGCACAGGGCAGTAGCCGCCAGCGACACGCGGGAAAATTAACGGCTGGTGGGGCTACGTTTTTAGTCAGTGGCCGCGGGCGAGGGCGCCGGGGGCGAGTGAGGTCAAAGCGGGCTGCGCAGCGACGAATCAAGCGAAGGCAGCGGGGGCGAACTGGTGGGGCTACGCGAAGCGTCTGGAATTTCACTGGGAATCCGGCCGTGGCGGCGAGGAGCCTCCCGGAGCCCTGGGTCTCCCATTCGGCCGTTCGGGACGAGCTGGGCACCCCTGGGCACGCCCTCGGCGAGGGGCCCCTGCTGCAAGGCGCTGCCGAGGGCAGGAAAGACCGCCGAAGGCCCACGAAAACGCCGAAAGGCTCCAAGCTGGGCTTGCTCCGTGCATAGAAGCCTTCTAGATGGGGTCCGAATAGACGGGGTCGGCGAAGCGTCGGCGACGTCGACGATGCATCGGCGCCGCTGGCGCGGAGAACATCGGGCTGTACGTCGAGCCGCATCGCCGAGGCATCGGCGATGCGACGCGATCCTCCGACCCCATCTGCTCCGACCCCATCTAGGAGGCCTAGAGTATTGGTGGCGGCATCCGAACCCTACCCCAACCGACCGTCGATTCTCCTGAATCGACAGGCGGTGATAGGCTTCGGATCTCGCCGCGTGCTCGACGCATTCCGAGCCCTTCCCCCGCGTGGCGACCGAGTTGCCTGAATCGCCGCCGACCGTGGCGACCCCCGACGCGCGCCCCCCCCCCCCCCCCTGGGCCCGCGGGTCCTGGCCCTCCGCGGCCTGCGCGCCCGCCTCGGGCCCGCCCGCGGGCGCGGCCTGCAGGACGCGCGGGGCGGCGCGCGGGGGGGGGGGGCAGCGGCAGGGTCGCTGCCCCGCGGCTTGCGCAACAGGGCCCCCCCGACGAGGCGCCTCCCAGGTGGGGTCGGATCAGGGCAGCAGGGCGAGCTGAGACGACAGCAGCTCGAACCCGGTCTCCAGACCCCTCCCCGGGTCCACACGCGCAAGTTTCCCGAGCTACGTTCAGCCGTGGCGACGAGGGGCCCCCCTAAGGCCAACTACCGTCGTCTCAACTCGGCCTCCTCTGATGGAGGCCTTTCAGGTTGGGTCGGAGGAGATGGGTCGGAGGATCGCGCCGCATCGCCAATGCATCACTGATGCATTTGCGAAGCATTGGCGACGTCGGCGATGCATCGGCGCCGTCGGCGCGGAGAACATCGGGCTGCACATCAAGCCGCATCGCCGATGCATCGCGATGCGGCGCGATCCCCCGACCCCATCTAATCGGACCTGGGAAGCCTAGACTGACACCCTCGCGTCGTGACGAAAAAACGCCACGGCAAGTGTCTGACAATCTCCAGACTTCTGGGGAGCCACTCTTTGAACAAACGTACGACAAAGACGACGGCGATGCTTGTTGAATGCTGGGCGCCCTTTGCCCTCCCTTTGAGCCCACACGACCTTCGCCTGGGCGGCAGGATCGCCCCCGCGTCTTGCGCACGGGGGCACGGCGGCCTCATTATGACACCCTTGATGGGGGCCACGATGGGTGGGTGACGATGGGGGGCTACGACGGGGAGCCACGATGGGGGGATCGGGATACGGAAAGGGGGTATAGATAGAGCTTATGACACAGGGATAAGGATATAGGGATAAGGAAATATGTCCAGGGACAGCGGTATATGGATAAAGAAATGGAGATGGGGATACAGGATAAGGATAACATGAACGGGGATGGAAGCAGAAGGACAATGACGGTAATGGAAAGCCACTGGAGGCAATGGGAAACCACATCGCCCGACCGATTCCAGGTCCGGCAGTCCACGGACGGCAATTGGAGGCCATTGGAGGCAACGGGAGGCCACGTCTCCCGACCGATTCTGGATCCCGCAGTCCACTCACTGACCTCTTCGAAATATGACATCAAACACCGCGCATGCAGCAGTAGGAGTGTGTCGGGCCCTCCCGCTCCTTGCGAAGCAGTAATTGGGGTCCCCCGCCGCATCGAGCACAAGATGCGCTCATTTATATGACCAAGTCCCTGCGGGTTGGGCCTTCCTGGCAGAAGATGTGCCCAAATACGAGGTCGGGGGAGGGACGTTCACTGGATCATCCCCCCCCCCGGCGCCCGCCCCCCCCCCCTCGGCGCCCGCCCGAGCGCGGTCACGGAATCGCGCGGCAGCGCCACTGGATACAAACCTCACAAAGCCCAGGGAACTGGGGTAGCATAGACTCGCGGAGGTCCGCGCGGATTTCCTGGATCGACGTTGCGCCAGGGCGGCGAGGAGGGGCGGGGCGCTCGGGGGGGGGGGTGCCCGAGCGCGCCGGCTCGGACCCGCGGAAGGGGGGGGGGAGGGGAGGAGGAGGAGGAGGAGGAGGAGGAGGAGGAGAGGAGGAGGAGGAGGAGGAGGAGGAGGAGGAGGAGGAGGAGGAAGAGGAGGGGGAGGAGGGGGAGGAGGAGAAGAGAGGAGGAGGAGGAGGAGGAGGAGGAGGAGGAGGAGGAGGAGGAGGAGGAGGAGGGGGAGGGCGGGGGAGGAGGGTTAAAAAGGAGGAGGAGGGGGCGGGGGAGGAGGAGGAGGAGGGGGAGGAGGAGGAGGCGGAGGAGGAGGAGGAGGAGGAGGAGGCGGAGGCGGAGGAGGAGGGCGGGGGAGGAGGAGGAGGGGGAGGAGGAGGAGGCGGAGGAGGAGGAGGAGGAGAAGGAGGAGGAGGAGGAGGAGGAGGAGGCTCCCCAGAGTGAGGGCCCCCGGGGAGGTGCCACTGCGGGGCGCGCAGCTGGGGCTCGGGCGAGGAGCCCGACTCCTCGGAGAGCGATCTCGAGTCTTGGCCCTGAACCCGCGTTTCAGGCCAGCCACGGCCTCCTGCCTCCACCGTCCTGAAGCTCCTCCTCCCTCCCCTTTTGGTAGTTCAGTGGCGCCCAGGTGCGCGAGCCGCGCCGGAGCAGACACACACACACACACACACACATACACACACACACACACACACACACACACACACACACACACACGGTCCCAGGACTGCAGCAAAAACGTCTCGGGATGAAGAACCAGCCCTTTGCAGAAGGCACAGACCTTCGGGGGTCCCGCATCGAGAAACTCAAGACAGCGGATGTCTGGAATCGTGGCGTGAGATGCGGCGGTAGCTGCCTGCGTTCTCATGTTTGGCACTCCCGACAAAAACGCGCAGCAAGGGTTCTGGCGACGAGCCAATCTTACGTCTGGCTGGCTCCGTTCCTCCTCTGTCTCCTGGGCCATAACTCGAGTCTCCCGCGGCCAATCAAAACGATTCGGGCACCCCCATAAATCCCTCGGCGCGGCGCGGCTGCTGGAACGCGTCCCGAGGCCAGAAAACCTCCTGCTGGAACGCAAGAAATCGTCCGAGCTGAGGGGGAGCGATACGGGGGGGACAAGCTTATGGGGGGGAACATTGAGCTGGACTTTGCGATGCACCGTCGATAGATCTGCGACAGGCGCAGATTGCGCAACCGCGCGTTCCTGGGCGGAGTGGGCCACCGGGCCTATATCAGCAGTGAATGGGCGAGTGGGGATCGACGCTTGCGCCCCTGAGCCTACACTCGGACGCTTTGCTTGGCGTGTTGCGGCGGCGGGCCCGGCGAGACGCCATGCCTTGCGAGTGGATAACGTGTCGCTCCGCTCCGCGAGGCGGGAAGCCTCGAAAGGCTCGGGACGTTGACGCTGGGGATTGGGGATGTGGATAGGGTGTCGCGCCGAAGCGCAGTGGACCAGAACCAGCGGCGCGACACGCTAACCAGAAAAGATCCCGACCGCATCGCTCCCTACAATAACCTTGCCCCTGAGAGCTCCCGACCGACCCGCGTCGGCCGACGCTCTGCTGCGCTCCGGCCAGCCCGGCGGGTTCGCCCAGCCTGCAGGCGATGCGCCAGCTGCAGCAGCCGCGGCCGCCCGAGCAGCTCGTCGAGCGTCTCCTCGGCACCGGCACCGCCCGCGACGTCGGCGGGCGTGGCACCGCTGGCGTCCTCGGCCGGGCGCAGGCGCAGCGTCGTCCTCGCCCTCGCCCACCTCCACTGAGCGGTCTGCACTTCTCTGCAGCTCTGGCCTGCGACACCCCTTCCGCTGTGCTTGTTGCTGAGGAGGGAGGGAGGGAGGGGCCGTCGTCGACGTCGTCGTCGTCGTCGTCGCCGTCGTCGTCCTCGTCGCCGTCGACGTCCTCGTCGCCGTCCTCGTCGCCGTCGACGTCCTCGTCGTCCTCGTCGCCGTCCTCGTCGCCGTCGTCGTCGTCCTCGTCGCCGTCGTCGTCTTCGTCGCCGTCGTCGCCGTCGTCGTCGTCGTCGTCGTCGTCGCCCCAGATGCCCCGGCGGGCGGGCCCGCGGCGCGCGGCGGAGGTCCTTGGCGTCGCGGTCGGCGCCCCACGACAGCAGCAGCGCCGTGGCGCCGGCCCGCCCCGCGGCGGCGCACTTGTGCAGCGGCGTCTGCCCCGAAGCGTCGCGGCCTGCGGGCGAGTTGTTTCTGTTGCTTTGAATGTTCATCGTGGCTGTTATGTGTTCTGTGTTCTTGATCTTCCTGTGTCTACATGTAGGTATGTATGTATGGCTCTCTCTCTCTTTCTGTCTAGGGCCAGGGAGGAGGAGCAGCACCAGCAGCAGGGTAAGGAGGTGGGTGGAGGAGGGCCGAGGGAGGGAGGGGAGGGAAGAAGGGGGGCGTCGAGCACGGCATCGAAGCCAGACAAGCGGCTCGCGCTGGGGCCACTGCGCCACTTCGAACGACGGGAGACGACGGGAGCCGAGCGCCGGTCCCAAGGACCGGCACCTCGAAGGACCGAAAACGACCAGAGTAGAAGCAAGCAGCCAGCGGAAATATGAGCAGTGTGGATGAACATCGTGCGTGTAAGAGCAATGCGCGGAGAGGGCACAGCATCTTCCGGAGAGAGTCAGGGGGCGAGAAGAATACTACTCAATAGCGTACTTGTATATCGAGGGAGGAAAGGTGAGCTTGAGGAGCAGAAGGATTGAGCAGCTCCCTTTGGAGGGATGGCGGAGGGGAGATCGAAGAATTTCTTGGATTGCAATGTGATGAACCAGGATAGATGTCACGAAGGGTCGGTGCTGCACCAAGCAGATGGCTTTAACGTACAGTCAGGCAAACCTGCTGACCGAAAAAGCTGAAACATCTGCACGGGCACCAGGAGCACAAGTCCAGCACAGTACGCTGGGAACCCTGCGGCAGAGCTCTGCAGCGGACGGAACGCGTTGAACCGAAGCAAGGATTCCATGCCCTCCTCGACCCTGACTGCCCCCCATGGTAGGCAACTGGACGGCAAGCGCGAAAGGCGGCGACAGATGACCCGCTGTGCCCGTCCAAGGCACTCGGAAAGAATGGCGGAGGGAGGGAGGGGAAAACACTCTGGAGAACGAGGGAGGGGGGAACCCTGGGACGCAGGCCGAAAACCCCCAGCTCTTGTGACAACCGTTCCCTCCGGACGCACAGGCTGGGGGAACACGGATGATTCTACCTGTGCTACCCGCCAAAAACCTATACTGAAACTTCCACCCTCCGCAGTAAACAGCCTGGCGTGAGAGCCGCGCAACACGCGCTGCGGTGCCCAGCGGGGCGCTCGGGAGGAGGAGCGGAGGGGGGAAGGGGCAAGGCTGAACCATGCAAGAGGGAAGGGAGTATGGCTGGGACACAGACGACATCCCTGCGCAGATCAGCAAGACGATAGGCCGCATGGAAACACCACAGAGGGAATTACCACAGGGAGGTGCTCTGCCGAGACTGGGGCACTACAGCCGCTCGTCGGGCGAGGGGGCACATTTTCGCACCCGCGACCAGCATGAGCGACGACAGACGGCGGCGATCGCGACACGGACGAACGACGGCGGTGGAGACCAAACAAGCGACTACCTTCTGGCTAGACGAAGGAGGAGGGCCAACGGCAGGTATCTAGAGCACGTTTCTGTATCATCGGCATTGACTGGCGTCATGGGGGGGGAGGGGGGCGGGGGGGGGGTATGACGTAACGCCCCCCCCCCCGCCGTGCGGCTCCGGCACCACAGCCGCGACCACGCGCACGACGACGATGAGCGACGAGCGACGAGCGACGAGCGACGACGACGACGACGACGACGACGACGACGCGAGCAGCATGCAGGTGGCGATCTGCCCCACAGTGCCTGTGTACACCACAGTGCTCGCGTGCAACACAACGCTTGTATACACCACAGCGCTTGCGCACACCGCAACAACCGTGTGCAACGCAGCGCTTGTGTACACCACAGTGCTCGCGTGCACCACAACGCCAGTGTACACCACAGCGAATTTGCACACCGCAGCAGCCATGTGCAACACAGCGACTGTCTACACCACAATGCTTGCGTGCACCGCAGCGCCTGTGCACACCACAGTGCTTGTCTACACCACAGCATCCGCGTGCAACGCAGCGCTGGTGTACACCAGAGTGCCTGCGTGCACAGGACAAGTAGAAGGAGCATGTCGGTGAGGACTTTGTGAAGACAGCTAAACGCCACGCCAGGGATATGCTGATAATAGAATGCGACGTTTTTCCCCCCTCCCTCCCCCACCTCCGCCTCCTCCTTCTCCTCCTCGTCTTCCTCCTCCTCCTCCTCCTCGTCCTCCTCCTCCCTCACCCTTCCCCCCTGTCGTGCGGGTCGGCACTACAGCGCACGTGCGCGTCTCAGCGTGCACCGCAGAATGGTCTATTCACTGGTGCCGTGCTGAATACACGCAGACACTGTGGTGTACACTGGTGCTGTGCTGCACACGGCTGATGTGGTGTACGCAGGCGCTGTGGTGTACACAAAAAGCGCCGTGGTGCCAACAGGCACTGTGGCTCACACTGAGGCTGTGATGCACGCGGCTGCTGTGGTGTACATAGGCGGTGTGGTGTACACACGCGCTGTGGTGCACGCAAGCACTATGGTGTACACAAGCGTTGTGGTGCAGATCGCCACCGACATGCTGCTACCCGTCCTCGGTGATTCCCCAGCATTACCAGACGCCGCTGGCGCGAAACGTGACGTCATCGGCCCCCTTCCACCCCCCCAGATGATTGCCGTCATCGGCCCGGAATAAAAAAACATGTTCCAGCTGCGCCCGCGCGCACGACGACGATGAGCGACGGGCGACGGGCGACGGGCGACGAGCGACAACGACAACGACAACGACAACGACGACGACGACGACGACGACGACGACGACGACGACGACGACAACGACGACGACGACGACGACGACTGCGGACCAGACTCCTATGCGGATTCCTATGCGGACACCAATGCGGATCACGATGCGCACGGCGGCAGTGCCCGAATCGCAGTGGGGGGGGCGTTACGTCATAGGGGAGGGGGAGGAGGGGGGCTGGGGGTCATGACGCTCGTCATGCCCCAAGCAATATAGAAACGGGCTCCTACAGCTGCTAACTGGTCCGTGGCGCAGTGGAGCTGGACATCGCCTCACCAACTTCGGGAGAGACGGGCACCCACAATTCATTCAGCATGCGCGGCATCCACATCAATAGAGGGAGACCGAGGTGAAGGAGGAAGTGCAGGAAGATGACCTGGGCGCACCCACCTATGAAAACGCATGAGAACAATGTCTTCGCTAACTCTCCTGTGTGGTGGCTCACGGCGAGTGGTGGGACGCATGGCTACAATGACGCAACGCATTTCTATCCATTCCCACTGCAAACTCATTCCCCCTCCCACTACATATGTGCAAAAGGCGGCCGGGTGGCTGGCAACTCTATCAACTACACGCTCCCAGCAACCGACCTCGTTCTCCGTTTTCAGTGACCGACGCGGGGTGGCCTCGTCCGTGGCCTCGCTCTGGGACATCTCGGTGTGCGCCTGTAGTATTTATCGCCCTGGAGCAGCTCGGCAAGCGTCGCGGTGACTTCTCCTTGGGGCAGCTCGGCGGGCGGAGCAGTGGCCTCGCCTTGGAGCAGCTTGGCAGGCGCCTCAATGGCCTCGCTCTGGGGCAGCTCGGCGGGGGCCGCAGTGGCCCAGCGTTGAAGCAGCTTGGCGGACGCTTCAGTGGCCTCGCTCTGGGGCAGCTCGGCGTGCGCCTCGGTGGTATCGCCTTGGAGCAGCTGGTCGGGCGCCCCAGAAGCCTTGCTTTGGAGCAGTTCGGCGGGCGCCCCGGTGGCCTCGGCATGGAGCAGCTCGGCGGACGCCGCAGTGGCCTCGCCTTGGGGCCGCTTGGCGGGCGCCGCAGCGGCCTCGCTCTGGAGCGGCTCGCGGCTCGGTTGGCGCCTCGATGGTACCGCCTTGGAGCAGCTCGGCGGGCGTCGTGGTGGCGTCGCGTCGGGGCAGCTCGGCGGGCGTCTCGCTGGTGTCGCCGTGGAGCATCTCAGCGGGCGCCTCAGTGGCCGCGCTTTGGAGCAGCTCGGTGGGCGCCTCGATGCCTTCGTTCTGAAGCAGCTCGGCGGTCCCGTCAGTAGTCTTGCCTTGGAGCAGCTCGGCGGGCGTCGCAGCGGCCTCGCGCAGGAGCAGCTTGGCGGGCGCCTCGTTGGTCCCAGCTCAGAGCAGCTCGGAAGGCGCCGTCGGCATCGCGCCAGCGCGGTGTAGGCAGGAAGCGGCAGAGCGGCAGGAAACCGACACCGCGCAGCACCGTCATCCGCACCCGCAGCAGCACGCCCTCGAGCTGGCCGCTCTTACCGACGAACGTCATGGGCGGCCAGTGGCGGCAGCGCACATGGCGGGCAGCAGGCGCGAAACATGTGATGAGGCAAGCGGCGGAGCGCAGGACGACAACGGCAGCTGCCCCTGCAACCTGCTCGCTGAGCGCCTCCGGTCTGGTCGTCTCCGAGAGTGCCGCGCCATCGGGGAGACGTGCAACCAGGCCGGCAGGATGGAGAGCACCAGCAGAAGCCACGCCAGCGGTCGCTGCAGCAAACTCTGGAGCACCAGCACGTTCACGACAAGCGTGCTCAGCACCAGGAACATCGCGATCGCGCAAGCGGGCAAGCTGCTCGCCGGAAGCGCGGGCGGGGCTCATGCCAGCGGCGGCCCGACCAGCCTCGCAGCAACAACTTCAGCGGGCCCGTCGTCACCTGCGAGGACCTGCAGCGCGATCGCGGGGTGCGCGAGGGCGGGCAGGTGGGCGCAGCTGGCCTCGTCGGGGCTGGCCGCGGGGCCGACTTGGGCCGCGAAGCCGAGCCTTCGCACGGAGGCGCGAAGGGGCGACCTCGGCGAGCAGCAGCCATGGCGCCCGCCGGAAACGTGTCGCGGCAAGTCTGGGGCGGCGCGCGCTGGACCGCCCCCCCCCCGTGGGAAATGTCTCCACCAGGGCCAGGGACTTGAGCCAAAATGGCCACGGAATCGAAGAGGGAGGGGCGGAGGAGGAGGCAGGAGGAGCCCGAGGAGCAGAAGGAGGAGGAAGAGGAGGAGAGGCGGGGGAGGCGGAGGAGGAGGAGGGAGCAAGGAAGGGAGGAGGACGACGCCTGGAACCATACTTGCGGGCGGGGGGTCGCGCATCGCGCCCCCCCGGCCCTTCGCTCCGAGCGCGGCGCTGGGCATCCGGGCGCGGGGCGCGGCCTCCCGCGCCCCCGCCCGCCAGCAGCAGGCAGCCGCCTCCTCCCTGTCGTGCCAGGGCCACGATCCTCGAGAGGGGTGTGCCGAAATGAAGCTTCGGTGGAACTCCTTGTGGGGCCAGGACCACGATCCTCGAGAGGGGTGCGCAGGAAACGAAGCTTCGGTGGAGCTCCCTGTGGGGCCAAGGCCACGATCCTCGAGAGAGGTGTGCTGAAATGAACCTTCGGTGGAGCTCCCTGTGGCGCCAGGGCCACAGTCCTTGCGAGGGGTGCGCCGAAATGAAACTTCGGTTTCTGGTTGCTGGTTGCTGGGGGTGGGGGGGCCGGGCGACTAGGTCACGAGTCAATCAGCAGCAGCAGCAGCAACAACAACAACAACAGCAATAGCAAGAAGAACAACGACACCAACACCAGCACCAACAACAACAATAACAACAACAACGTCTGTAGCAACAACAACGAGAGAGGCAGCAACGGGAACGTTATTCCAAGATGGACTCAACAGGGCCTTTTGAAAGGATCACGAAATTACCCCTGTCGCCCCAAGATGCCCTTCACTGCTAAGCAATGGCCCCAACTTGACCCCAGAGCAACCCTGCGGCCCCAAGAGAACACCGAGACGAACCCAATGTCTTCCGATCGAACTAAGGCTACCACGCGACCCCAATTTAACTCCGAGGTGGCCCCAGAACGACCCCATGAGTCCGAGACGACTTCGAGATTGCCCCAATATGACCCTTTTTAAACCCTAGTTGACCCCAAGATTGTGTCAATATGGCTCCAATGTGACTCCCATACGTTTCTTCCTTCTCCCCTTGCTCTTGGCTTGGGCCGTTAAGACGGAGGGGGGTGTTGGCCATCCACCCCCTCGTCGTCGTTTCTTCCTCCTCCCCCTCGTCCTCGTCGCCCTCGTCGTCGTCGTCGTCGCTGTCCGCTTGGCCCTGTTGGCCCCATACATAGCAGAAAACCGAATCCCGAACACAAGCCGAGTCCATCCATTCTCCGATCTTGCAAGAGTTCCATGGGTTTCTATCACCAACGTGCCAGAAATGGTGTCTTGAAGGGGTTCAGGATTACGCGGGTGCAACAGTTATGTTGATGCGCTGTGTTGAAGTCCCATGAATGGCAATCTGGCGCGATTCAGGATTACCAAGACGCAACAGTCAGGTTGATCCGTGGCGTTGGAATCCCGAGAACAATGTTTTGGCATGCTTCAGGGTCTTTAAACGGTTGTCTTCCAAAGAGGCAGTTCCTTCAATAGATATGAACCGTTGAATGGGGCCTCTGAATGGGGGAGCTTGGAGGGAGGGATTATTCCAACCTTGTTGATGACTCTTGGATTTACACTGGTCCTCCTCCTCGTCCTCCTCCTCCTCGATCCGCGCAACCATTCCGCTCGGGGCAGGGGGTCCCGTGCAGCGACGGGGCAAACTCCGAAGTGGCAATGCCCCCCGCGAGCCATCAAGAGCCCGGCGATGTTTTCCCCCCCTTTCTTCCCCCCTCCGTCTCCTCCTCCTCCTCCTCCTCCTCCTCCTCCTCCTCCTCCTCCTCCTCCTCCTCCTCCTCCTCCTCCTCCTCTCGCCCCGCCACCCTTACCTTTGCATTCAAGAAGGCTCCACAGGGCTCAGGTGCGACGCCATCCTGTGCCTCGACGGGAGGCCCTGGGGAGGTGACGAGCTGGGCCCCGCGCCAGGGCCCATCGTCATCGGCTACAGTGCCGGGGCCAGGTGCTGGACGTGACGAGACACCCCAGGAGGCCCCGTGGCCCCCCCTCCCCCAGGGCCCAGGGGGACCTGGTTTCGAGGGTTGGGGCACACAGCGACATCGGCAGCTGCAGCGCTGCGATCGAAGCGAGAGACGAAGTGGAGCAACGCCTGCGCAAGACGCGGCCTCTCTGCCGCAACTCAGCGAGATGCGGAAGGCGAATCAGGAGCCCGATCTTAGCCGCTACTGCGCATAGATCAGGGCAGGCACCAAAGACAGCGGTGGCCAGCCGCGGAGCGAAGTTGAGGCCAACGTCATCAACTACACTCGGGTCACGGCTTGCGAGAAAGGCGGGGAGACGAAAGAAAGCCAGGCCCGCCCCACGACCCCAGCCGGAAGGCAGGGACCAGGTTGAAGAATGCGAGAAGGGCGCGCAGTGGCAGCAAGCGGAGGCCGTCGGAGGTGAAGCTGGAACCAAACGTTATCAGCTACAAATGCCACGGCGTGCGGTGCTGGAGCTGGGAGCAGTGCGTGCGGGAAAGGCGGGTAGTGGTAGCCGACTCTAGTGCTATTGCACGAGAGGAGCATCAGCAGGAGGCTCGGCCGCTGGTCAACCATAAGGGGACGGCGAAGTCAGAGTCCGACGTCATCAGCTACAGCGCTGGGAGCAGGGCGTGTGCGAAGGGCGAACGGCAAGCGGCTCAGACCCCACTCTGCGACAAGCGGGAGGCGAAGTCAGAGCACGATGTCGATCGCTACAGAGCTGTGATTTGGGAGTGCGAGAACGGCGAGCAGTGGCAGCGGGCACTGGCGCTGCTCAACGAGAGGTGGAAGGCGAAGCAAATTCCCGACGTCATCAGCTACAGTGCTGGGATCAGAGCGTGTGAGAAAGGCGAGCGGCACGCGGCTCCGACACCATTCTGCGAGAAGCGGGAAGCGAAGTTAGAGCCCAAAGCCATCAGCTGCGCAGGCAGGGGCAGCATTGCAAAGATCAACTCGTGCGAGAGGGCAGTAGCAAAAAGCGGAAACGCTTTCAGCTACAACCGTGTATAGTCTGGCTCGGGGGCGGCCCGAGTGTCTGTGCATGGACTCGGTCGGGGGTCGCGGGCGGCTTGTCGATCGAGGTGGGCGGGCAGTGGCACACTCGTCGCGGCTCGATTTGGGGATAGCTGAAACCAGTGTCGTCAGCTTCATACTGGCTTTGCGCGCAAGGCCCACCGTCGCCACACTCCTCTGTGCTAGGCTGGTCACGGTCGGCGAGCAGGGGTGACATCCGCTTGCGCCCCTTGCACGGAAGGCCCCAGGACGCAGCCTCTGACAGTCCATGCCAGTCCTCGATCCGCGCGGTCCGAAGATCGAGGTGTTTGCATGCCGTCGGCCGTCTTGAACTTCCTCCACCGAGGCCTCTGCACATGGGGCTCCCGCGGAAGCTTCTGGAGGCCTCCGCGCGCCTCCGAGGAGGCCTCCGCGGAATCATCCGAAGAACTCCGCAGGCCGTGGGGAGACCTGCAGAAGTCCGCGCGGGAGCCTCCGCAAGAGCCTCCGGAGGGCTGCAGGGTCCTGGAGACATCCGTTCCCCGTGCACGCGGTGGACACGCGGCCGATTCTGGGAACCCTGAACCCGAGACTGCTGACATCTCGCGCTTCCCTCCGCCGGCCTTCACGCGCTGGCCTTCAGACGCCGGCTTCCGCCCCCGTCGTACCTCTGCCGGCTTCCCCCGGCGGACCTGCCGCTTCCGCTGAGGGCGAGAGACGCGCTGTACCCTGAGATCAGGCGTTGCGACCAGATCGCACCATCGCGAAGAATCACGACCAAAAAGCCCTATAGACCTCGTCTTTCTGCGGCACTGGTCGGGCCGGATCGATCTGTGATGGTCCCGGGGACCCGAAGCCGCGCGAAAACGCCGGGCGTGGACAAAAACGCTACACCTGGAACCCAAGGCCAGGCGAGGCCTCTCCTGGAGCGCGCCACGCGCAGGCTCCCGCCTCGGAGGGAGGCTGGCGCGGGCGCCCACGGCCGGGTCCGCCTTGCAGGTCCAGCGCGCCATCCCCGTGCAGCTCCGCCAGCATCTCCTCCGCGCCGAGCTCCGCCTCGGGGAGCGCCGGGTGCGTTCGGCCGGAGGCGAGGGCGCGGGCAGACCTGGAACTTCTGCCACATTGTGTCGTCGATCCTGTTGGTTTGCTCTTCGTCGGCCTCTGGGGCCCGTTGTCGAGCCCTGGAGTCCTCAAACATGGATCTGGGACGGGTCTACTACCCAAGGGGGAGGGGTCGGGACTCCTGGGGCTGCGCAGTGAACAAGCATATATCGTCGGCTGTCTGTATACGCACCATGTGCCATCCCTGGCCAGGGCCATCCTGGGCCCTGGTATGGTGTATACGTACGCCCTTCTGGCTGGAGCCAGCAGGGTCTCGCAGATCGTCCAGGAGTGGCCCTGGCCACGCACAGGGGTGGTGCAAGGATGCCTTCTGCAGAGGGGGCAGACGAGGGCCAGGACGCTCGGCTGAGTGGCTCGTCGGACAACGTCCGCGGCGGCATGGCTGGCGGGGCTCGGCCTCCAGCCAGCCTCTCAGGGTCGGCCCGAGCGGCTTCCTCCCCGAGGCTCCCCCAGGAAGCTTCAAACACGAAAAACGCAAAAAAACATTACTCACTGCGTGGAGCTCCCCATATGTGCATCTCATGTTGTATGTTATGCCGTGGTGAGCGTCTGTTCATGAGCGGTCGACTACAATAGCGCGTCCACGTGGGCGACAGGGCCGACGAAGACGAGTGACCCCTAATGCGAGTGATTGCGTATGAGTCAGAGTGAGCTTTGAGTATGGTTGAATGCGAGCCTCTTCCTCTTCATCCCCCCTCCTCAGCTGCCAGGCCTTCCCCTTGTCAGCCCGTGGCAGCCCCGTGGTAGCCCCGGGAGACATCCTCACAATCTGCTCTCCAAGCGAAGGATGTTGAGCCCAGAAACAAGCAAACCGCCTGAGACATCCCCACAAAATGGCCGCGAACGAGCCCGTGCAAACACCCCTGGCGGCTCCCCTTAGGGTTGCTGAAACCAGCGCCCCGCCTGAGACATCCTCACAATCTGCTCTCCAAGCGAAGGATGTCGAGCCCAGAAACAGGCGAACCGCCTGAGACATCCCCACAAAATGGCCGCGAACGAGCCCGTGCAAACACCCCTGGCGGCCCCCCTTAGGGGTGCTGAAACCAGCGCCCCGCCTGAGACATCCTCACAATCTGCTCTCCAAGCGAAGGATGTTGAGCCCAGAAACAAGCAAACCGCCTGAGACATCCCCACAAAATGGCCGCGAACGAACCCGTGCAAACACCCCTGGCGGCTCCCTTAGGGGTGCTGAAACCAGCGCCCCGCCTGAGACATCCTCACAATCTGCTCTCCAAGCGAAGGATGTTGAGCCCAGAAACAAGCAAACCGCCTGAGACATCCCCACAAAATGGCCGCGAACGAGCCCGTGCAAACACCCCTGGCGGCCCCCTTAGGGGTGCTGAAACCAGCGCCCCGCTTGAGACATCCTCCAAATCTGATGTGTGTTGAGTAAGTCTGAGTATGAGTAGGTCTGAGTATGAGTATGCCTGAGTATGAGTAAGTCTGTGTATGAGTAAGTCTGTGTATGAGTAAGTCTGGGTATGAGTAGGTCTGTGTATGAGAAAGTCTGTGTATGTGTACGTCTGGGTATGAGTAAGTCTGAGTATGACTAATACTGTGTATGAGTAAGTCTGGGTATGAGTGAGTCTGTGTATGAGTACGTCTGGGTGTGAGTAAGTCTGTGTATGAGTAAGTATGTGTATGAGTATGTCTGAGTGTGAGTAAGTCTGAGTATGAGTAGGTCTGAGTATGAGTAAGTCTGAGTATGAGTAAGTCTGTGTATGAGTAAGTCTGAGTATGAGCAAGTCTGAGAATGAGTAAGTCCGACAGGAGGGGACGAGGAAAGAGGAGGAGGGAGAAGGAGAGGGAGTAGGAGGCGTCCAAGTAATAACAAGAACCCCATCTTAGGATATGGGGAATTACAGTTGCTCGTTTCTCATCGGTGCCGTCGTCGTCAGCGCCGCCGCCGCCGCCGTCGTCGTCGTCGTCGTCGTCGTCGTCGTCGTCGTCGTCGTCGCCTTCGTCGCCTTCGTCGTCGTCGCCGTCGCCTTCGTCGTCGTCGTCGTCGTCGTCGTCATCGTCGTCGTCATCCTAGTCTTCCAGTCCATCGCCTCCTGGTTTCCCAGACCCCTGCCAAGGCGCGTTCTGACCACGATTTCGAAACGACGACGGCAGTGCAGCGAAGGCCCCCCAGGAAGCCTCTCCCCGGCTGAGGAGGAGAACGTAAAGCAAGAAACATGTGTCTGCCTCCTCTCGTCATCGCCGCGGCCACAGCCGCCAACGTCGTCGGCGCCGTCGCCGTCGCCAGCCGCCCTCGTCATCGTCATCGCCCTTGTCTTTGTCCTTGTCCTTGTCCTTGTCGTCCTCGTTCTCCTCGTCGTCGTCGTCGTCGTCGCCTTCTTCCTCGTCGTCGTCACCCTCAATTTCGTCGTTGGCGTCCCCGCCGCCCTCGTCACTCTCGCCCTCGCTCTCGACGTCGTCTGATGGACTTGTTTTCCACCGCAACCACCAGAAGTTGAAGGGGGGAAGGAGGTGGGGGACGAGGAGGAGGAGGAAGACGAAGAGGAGGAGGAGGAGGAAGAGAAGGAGGCCTGACTAGTATAAACTTCAGAGTCATCAGCGATGTCGGAATTAACCCTCCCTCCAAGCTCCTTCTTCATAGGCCCCATACGACGGTTGATATTCATTGATCGTTGGAAGACAGCCATTTGAACATCCTGAAACATGCCGAAACATTGGTCTCGGGATTTCAACGCCACGTAAAAACCTGACTGCTGCGTCTTGACGATCCGGAATCATGCCAGAACGCCATTGTTGGGACTTCGACACCGCGAACCAACACAACTGTTGTAACCCGCATAATCCTGAATCCTTCCCAAAAACAGATTCTGGTACGTTGATCATGGGAATCCGTGAGAAAGTCTTGCAATTTCTTTGAAAACGATGTGCGCGGCGCTAAGGCGAGAGCCACATTTGGAAAAGGAGCCGCCCTCGATGCGTGAAACTCTTGCAATTTTTGAAAGCGAACGTGCGCGGCGCTAAGGCGAGAGCCACATTTGGAAAAGGAGCCGCCCTCAATGCGTGAAACTCTTGCAATGTTTGAAAGCGAACGTGCGCGGCGCTAAGGCGAGAGCCACATTTTGAAAACGACCCGCCCTCCATCTGTGAAGCTGTTGTCACGTTTTTAAGCTTCAGAGCCAGAGATGGTGAGGAAGTCTCAGGCGCAGCGCCCGGCTGGTCCTAAAAACTGGCCTCGGGGTGCGACAGGGAGAATTTGCTTATAAGGAAAAGGGATGGAGGAGGAGGAGGAGGAAGAGGAGGAGGAGGTCCTCCTCGACCGCCAGCGGCCAGTCAGCGACGCGGCCCACCCTGCCCTCCGCGCCTCAGTTGCGTGCGCTCCTCCTCCTCCTCCTCCTCCTCCTCCTCCTCCTCCTCCTCCTCCTCCTCCTCCTCCTCCTCCTCCTCCTCCTCCTCTCACGACGCAGAGACCGTGGGGAGAGGCGGCCGCGGAGGCAGTCAGCGCTGCCAACTCCTGGTGGTGGTGGCGGAGAACAGGCCCACCAGGAGGAGGAGGAGGAGGAGGAGGAGGAGGAGGAGGAGGAGGAGGAGGAGGAGGAGGAGGAGGAGGAGGAGGAGGAGGAGGAGGAGGCGGAGGAGGAGGAGGAGGAGGGGGGGGAGCAGGCCCATCAAAGGGGGGCGGGGGCCGCCAGCCGGTGCCCCAGCGCCCTGCCCTGGCTGTCCGTGGCCGCCGGATCGGCGCGCGACCGCAGCAGCAGCCGGACCACGGCCGCGTGCCTGCGGCAGCGGGGGGCGGCCAGAGGCGGCCAGCGGCGGGCGCTCGCCGGAAGGGGGGGGGCGCGAAAGGAGGCAAGAGGAGTAGGGGGGGAAGGGAGGCAAGAGGGAGGACGGAGACAAGACGAGGGGGGAGGGGGGGCGAAGGAGGCAAGAGGAGGGGGCGAAAAAGGGGGGGGGGGGCGAGAGGAGGCAAGAGGAAGGGGGGGGAGTGAAGGGAGGCAAGGGGGAGGACGGAGGCAGGGAAGACGAGAGGGGGGGAAGAGAACGGAACGGAACGGAACTCAAAAGATCTTGTCTGGTCAGAGCTACGAGACTGTACTTCAGGCTCGACGGAAAAGCCTGAAGGAGTAGGAGGCAGGAGGGAGTAGGAGGGGGGAGAAAGGATGGGGGCAGGAGGTAGGAGGAGGAGGAGGAGGAGGAGGAGGAGGAGGAGAAGGAGGAGGAGGAGGAGGAGGAGGAGGAGGAGGAGGAGGAGGGATGAGGAGGGGAAGTTATTCGAACCACTCCGTTTCCCCGCTAGCGTCTTCCTTTGCCTCCTTGCTCTTTGAGGATGCTTCAGGGTTCGCGAGTGATCCGAAGCGGGAGAAGGGGACAAGGGACGACGACGAGAAAAGACAAGGAAGAGGGGCGCGAAGCGCCCGGTCCCACGCTCGGCGACATCCCGCCGCAGATGGGGGGGCAGGAGGGGGAGGGAGGGCGGAAGGAGGAGGGGGAGAGGGAGGAGGAGGAGGAGGAGGAGGAGGAGGAGGAGGAGGAGGAGGACACGATACGATACGCACACCCTTAGCGCCATGTTGTCTGGTAGTCCAGTGAGTACTGTACTCACCCAATGTCAAAATCGCGCAGCAGTGGGCCCTGAACGTTCAAGACTGACTGGAGGCATCGTGACGCGGTGAACCTTCTCTTTGGAATGAGTGCCGATGCCGAAGCTCAACGCACCAGGGCCGCAGACAAGGCCCCGCACGGGGCCGTCCTGGCCCCTGCAGCCACCGACGCATAAGGTAGCCACAGGGGGCTGAGGCGAGGCGAGATTCAGGGTTGACCGCTTGCTTTCTTAGCAATGTCAAGAATGTTTCTACTGCTAGCGAAAACATGAAACCTCTGAGACCCTGGGTAGATCCCCCGAGAGGCCAAGCATTCAGTTACTATCTGCTTTTCAGTGCGAGGAGGAGGAGGGGGAGGAGGCAGAGGACTCACAGGAGTGGGTGAGGGCTCAGGCGCGGGCCTACTAGAACTCGAAGCTGAGCTGGCCCCCGTCGGTCTCGAGGGAGTGTCTCGTACAAAATCGCGTATATCGGGTATTTCCAAAATGATGTCAGAGCGGCCGTCAGGATCATAAGAATCAGTCGCCCAAACGCTCGACAATGCCGAGCTCGAACCAATCTCAGGTAGGTTGAGAGCCGCTTGTACTTGATTCACTTCAGTAGGGCCTCCAAGAAGGTCTGGATCTCCCGCTCCATGAATGATGCTGGGGCTCTGCCGTACTTGCGTGTCGTCTGTGGCACTTGAGAAAGGCAAGCCAAGAGAGTATGGCGGAACTTCGCGTCCCTGGTGGCAAAGGTGATCCTGCGACGTTCTTTATGGAAGACCTTGTCCTGACGGCAAAATAGAATTAGCTCGCACTTCTGCTCGACTGAGTACCCGTCGTACTCCTTCCATGCTGTCGCGAGGTCGGTGTGATTCTGGGCTCCGAGACTGTCGCCGTGCGTCAGAAGTCCTTTGATGAGCCCGGCCATCGCGTATATGTGTTGAGGTCCGAGGGTGTGCTCTTTGCCCTTTGACTTGGTCTCGGCGGCGTAGGCCGCGGTCTGTTCGCTCATGATCGCGATGAATGCGACCGTCATCGGGGCGATGGGAGTGTCGAAGATGACCCCTGACATGTCGCGGCACTGCTGGCTGAGCCTGAGGATCTGCTTCAGCATGAGCGCGAAAAGCTTCTTCTGCTTGTCGGGGATCTGCTCGGCGATCTGCTTGGACTCCTCTTTCGTGCCGCCCTCGATGCGGCCCTTCTTCCTCTCGTCGCGAAGGCCCTTGCCCCCGTCTCCGCCCGAGCCCGCCGCTGATCCAGTCAGTGCCGCCAGGACGCCAGGCATGGTAAAATAGTGTCGGAAGGGGTCTAGGTATATGCTCGTCTTGCAGGTGTCGAAAGTAATCGATGCTCGATGGAAAAACTACGGAACTCGGGCATAGAGGACAGGTCCATGCGTCTTTCTGCTCGGGTTCCCAAGACATGCGAGCTCTCCCCCTTAAACAGCGGCCATACCCATAATAATGTTTCAGATGTTTGCGAGCATTGTGTACATCTCTGAATATACTCATACAATTTGGGCACTGATTCGTAACACCACCACTATGAAGTATATAGTTCATATTGTGTCAATTTGTCTGGTGTCCCATGGGGGCCCTGTAGGTGTCGAACTGGAGGCCACATGGGTTTCCCTCGGGGTCCGTGATCACGCATGTGTATACATGTTCGCGTTTGGCTTCGGGGTTATGTACTTCGGGAAATAGGGTACACCATTTGTCGTAATCCGTGAACGCTGCTGCTCTCAAGATCGAGGGGTCGATATTCGTAAACTCCTGGAAAGAGTCAGAGTTGGGTCCGAATAGGGTCTTCCACGAAAACCCAGCCGCCTCCCAAGCCTCGAAGAAACTCTCGGTCCCACTGATCCCCTCGTAAAGGTACAAACTGCGATGAAACTCTTTTGCCCAGGGATTCGCGTCGATACTGAGCTGTCCGTCTGGCAACAGCGTCGGTCTCTCCTTCTGTAAATGACCGAAGATCGCCGCAATCGTTTGGCTGTGGGCGTGACGGTGGGTGAGCATGCCTTGAAGCCACCGAATCCTGCGCACCGCCAGTTCCCCCCGAGCAGGGAGGGTGCGAAATCTGTAGAGCACCTCTGAATTCCGAAGTGTGCGAACGTGTGGCCCATCGTGGGAAGTGGCAGCACCCCGCAACAGAACTCTGAGGTATCTTACAGCACAGGATCTATCTTCTGATATTCAGCTGGCTTAAGGACAAATACTCCAAGACCCGTGATGCCACTTTCCACGACTTTGCCAAGAAAGAGCTCGCGCTTAAGTCGATGCAACCCACGCTCGTGCCAAACTAGACCTATGACAGACCAGCCCGCGTGCATGGAGCGGATTCTGCACTGTACCTCTGGAGCATTTGGGCCATCCATATGATGTCGAGCTCCCAGATGCCTAGCGTGACTGCGCACGGTGCCACAGGACTCAGGGCAAATCTCCTGAAGGCGACGGTTCTCCCTTGTGGATCCCAGACAAGGTATGATGTCTTTCTTCTGCGTATTCTACTGAAAACGCAATTTTTCCAGGACCTGGTTCATCTTCGAGTCGCCTTCTCGGATTGCCTCTAAAGCCCCAGACGCCGAGGGATCTTCTAGAACGCGCCGCCGAAATAAATCATCTGCAAAACCTACCATTGAACAGTCTAAAGCCGTGTTGCCAAACACTCCTGAAAGATATATGGGGGCCCCGTCGAGCTCGAGGATTTCGTCATAGCACTGGTCGAAGACGCCGACGAATTGTCGAGGTGCCTCACATGACCCTTGGAGCCCCCCATTCTTACTGAGAAATGTTTCAGGCTTGTTATCTACTTCAATTAAAACCACGCTGTTGATCAGGCGCTGCTTCGCGAAGTCCTGTAGATCCTCGCGCACCATTACCTCGGAGGTATGGGTTAAAAGATCCTCAGTGGATGGACACAAGAAAGCGTTCGTCATGTCGTGAAGCTCGCATACATGGGGGATCCTGGCTTTTCGCAGAGACCAGCTTAGTCGTAGTTGTACTAGTATGCCCCCCTCCCTCCTCCGATGCTTCAGAAACCCATGCCATCGTCCCGAAAACGATTTGTCATATGCCTCATCTTTATCCCCCCAGCTGTATAGTACGGAATACCAATATTTCCAAACACACATCTGATAAATGTACTATCCTCTGGCTAAACATGTTAGACTTGCCGTTAGACTTGTCAAGAAGGACCCCCTCAGTGATGCTAGACTTGGTGGGAAGCTGCCCCACCTCGAAGGACCGAATCAGAATATTTTCAAACTCCAGGCGTGCTCTCGTCATCTCAGCTGTTGTGGCCAAGATGTGTTCACGTCCATCAGGGGCTCGTTGATATTCTGAGGCTTCTCGTCCCGAGTTGAGCGTAGCTGGCTGCCGCGTCCGAGGTCCATGAGGAGGAGGTTGCTCAGCTGGTACTTCCGATATCGCTACGTGAATGTCGTAATCGAGGTTGTCAATCTCGGAGAACGGGTCGGCGTCATTCTCGTCGGCGGTGGTCCAGCGTAGAGGTAGCCTATCAGCCTCCGAATTGCTCAGGTCATTCTCATCGTAGCCACTCTCGCGAGGGAGGAGGGGATCTCTGGCTCCGAGGTTGATCTCGCCACCTGTTGCCTCTTGGGCTGTGCTCTCCAGCCGGCGCTGGCTCGAGGGTGGTGGTCCAAGATCCCTGGAGGCCTGGTCCTGGTGTTGTTTGTCCTGGGCCTGGGGTATCCAGCAAGGGGTCGCGGCGACGGTCGGCGGCGAAGCCTGCCGTTGATGGCCCAAACCTGGTCGCTCATCTGGTGCGTCGTGATGGACAGAGGTGACGCCGTACCCCAGGCCGAACTTGGAATAGCGCTGCTTCGAAATATGTCCAGGTGCAAGTACTGCCAATGCCAGTTCCGATGGTACACTCCACTTCGGCCCGCAGCGTCGGCCACGAGCTCGTCTTAGCTTCCAAATCATTTGTCGGACCATGACAGAGGCGGCGATTTCCATGCCAGGGCTGCGACGCTTGATGATGGATGGTTCCTCCGAGAGGAAGTCGCGAAGCATGAGATTCAAATCGGGAATATGCGTCGCTTCCATGCCACCGTCAGATCCGTGTCGTGCGAGATGTCCTTTCAGTTCGTCCAGCGACGGCTTGTAAGAAGAAGTAGTATTGTAACGTCGGTTCTTCACACCTGTTGATCGCCCAGAAAGTAGGCGTGCAAGCTTGTGAACTTCAGCCTGCTGGCCCAGAGCTCGTGCCTCGCGCAACTCTTGATGGAGGCGTTCGCGGTGTGCCGCTCGACGCCGACGAGCCCAGCGTCGGAGTTGGCCTGAGATGCGCTTAATCTTGGCCAATGCAGCAAGGTAATCATCAGTAAAATCAAGAAGGCGTCCATATGTGTTCCCGTGCTCTGCTGCCTCGAGTCGGTGAATCTTGCGTTGTTTGACCAGGGAAACTCGTTCTTGCTGTAGCCGATGTTCCGCTGTGTCGGTAGACTTATTTTCCAGTGCAAAATGTTGAAGGCCAATCTGCTGTACAATCTCCGCCCACCTGTCGTAGAAGTCACCGGTGTGCTGGTGGTGCGTGGTGCGCTCGCTGAAGTAATCTGATTGTGCCAACATGGCTGTCTCCAAGTCATGATGGAAGTCCTCTCTCCCAATGCCCGTCTGAAGTGCTGTAGAAAGCTTCTGAAAGTCCCATCGTGCTTTCGGTGCCAAAGGTATCGGGATGGGTAGCTCATGCTGCATTTCAAGAACGACAGGGACGTGGTCGCGGGGGGCGCTCTTGGGGATCAGCTGAAGGCTCCGACCTGCTTGCCATGCGACATTACAGTGGCGAATACCTGGCCCGAGACCTTTCGGAATGGCGAAGATGTCCAGCGTTGATGTATCTCCCTGGGCCCCAAAATATGTGGGTCCTGCTTTTGGCCAGGAGGTCCCTGGTGACATCATCCCGAGGTCGAGGAGCATCTTCGAAAATGTTTCACCCGCGGGTCCGTTTGGTCGAAGATGATGGGGCCCTAGGAGGTCTTGGTCGAGATCCACAGGGGTGCCGTCCTCCCAGAGCCCAAAGCCAGAATTTATATCCAGACCACATATAGGCGCACTTCTCGCTCGGGTTAGTTCGAGTCGGTGTCGAATATGTTTCATGACTGTCGTCGCCGCCTGGATCTGCGCTCGTCGTTTATGTCCACTCGCATATATAGGTGGGGGGTACGCACATATAGCCGTTAGATCGATATGTCCGCTCTTGATTCTGATTTCTCCATATCTGCCTGCAATACTCCGTGGTCCTGCATGTACCGCATACACATGTTGACGCTTCAGTCGTCGACCGAGTACGATGCATACCCCCGCACTGTTATTACTGAAAGTGGCCCTCTGCCAGCCGAAGTGGATCGCTGTAAACTTGTTACCTATATTCTCAGTGTGAAAGTCACGGCCTGTCCATTCCCTCACCCTTGTCCCTGGCAGCAGAATTAGGTCGCAGTTCAGGGTTTCCGCGATCTCCCGCAGTCGGCCTGCGGGCACAAGGGAGAGGGGGTTGTAGAGGGCGACGCGCAGGAGGCCCACCATCAGCCCCCCGTATAGGCTCGCCAGATGCATCGGAGGCCGAGCCAGGCAAGTAAAAGGTGAGTGAACGCTAAATCTCTCTGGGAGCTGGGGGGTCGCTGCCGCTGCTGAATGTGGGTTCGGGAGGAGATGGCAGCTAGGAGGAGGAGGAGGAGGAGGAGGAGGAGGAGGAGGAGGAGGAGGAGGGAGGAGGAGAGGAGGAGGAGGAGGAGGGAGGAGGAGGAGGAGGAGGAGGAGGAGGAGGAGGAGGAGGGCGCGCGGCGCCACCCGAACGGCCCCTTCAGCGGGCAGGATAGAGGAGGGGCGGGAGGGCGCCACGAGCCCTTCTGCACCCCTTCTTCCCATCACCTCCCCCTGTACCCCTCCCCTCCAGCCCTTTACCCTGGTCTCCCTCGTGCCACCGCTCGTCGCCTCCAGCGTCCCTCCCCCTCCATCCCCTCCCCTAGTTCCTCGCCCCTCCCTCGCTCCTCTCCCTGCCGCGCGCCAGGGCGCTGTCGAGCACAGTCAGTGCAGGAACCATGCGGCAGCCCTTGGCACGGCTTGTGGGCCCCGAGTCAAAAAAGGCAGGCTGCCCTAGTAAGGGACTGGGCTAACCAGAGGGAGAGCCAAGGCGAAAGTCGGCGACGACGACGACGACGAGGGGCACAGGAGATACGTCGCGACGGACGATCGAAGAACGCTCGGGCTTCGACCGTGCAGGCCTCTCCGCTTGGCCCCACCTCGCGCGACGCGGACTTCTACACCCGACCCCGTGCCTCCCGACCTGCGCACCCCTCCCCCTCCTTTTGGCATGACGGAAACGAGTGGTGAGGCAGGGCTGAACCTAAACGGTGTTTTCCGTTTCCGTTTTGTTTTCGTTTTCCCTCGTTTTATCTTCAATCCGCCTTTACCGCAAAACGTAATCGAAACGAAAACGGCCCACGAAATCGCCAAAACACCGTTTAGGCCCAGTCCTGCCCCTCTCCCTCCTTTTGGCATGACGGAAACGCATGCTGAGGGAAATGCCACCGGGAGGCCCCCCACCTGGCGACAAGCGCCAGGGAAAGGCCGCCGTTGTCTCGCTGGGGGAGACCACAAGGTGCCGATACCGCTGCTCCCCGGACCTCTCCTGGGGTGCGCTCCGACCAGAACCTCGAGGCGGATCCAGCGGTGGCGACGAGGGCCTCCCAGGAGGCTCAACAGGGGGAAAACGGGCGAAGGGTAGAGGTATGGGTACCTTTGGCGGTGCGCACAAGGGGGTGGGGGGAGGGGGGAGGGCTTCTTAGAAGCAGGCTGCTTCTTAGAAGGCGCCGGCCTTACATCTATAGATAAGGCCCGCGCCTTCTAAGAAGCAGGGGTGCTTCTAAGAAGCCCTCCCCCCTCCCCCCACCCCCCTCTGCGCGTGGCTGATACCTTTCCCTCCTCTGATCGACTGGCCCTCTTTTCGACCCTAGGCGCCCGCCGCCCCCCGCAACGCCTCTCGAGGAGCCGGCCCCCGTAGGCCGTCCGTAGCGCCGCGTGCAGCAGCGAGGCGTCCGTGCCGGCGCCGTGGGCGGCGTCCGCGCCGCCGGCGATCGCCTCCACGGGGCGGCAAGGCGGCCCCAACAGGGGGGATGGTCTCCTTCCCCTCCTCCTCTTCCTCCTCCACGTCCTCCTCCTCCTCCTGCCCCCTCTTCGGTCCATGCCCTTGTCCTCGACTCCTCCCCTTTTTAGTCCTCCGCCTCCTCCCCGTGCAGTATGATCAGAGCAACGACCCTGAAGGAAAATCTGCAATGAGGTTTCCACGGGCGTGTCCAAATCACTTCAGTAGGGGAGGTCTGTCTGCACACCCACATGTGCGTGTGTGCGCGATCACAGTGAGAAAGCATGGCTCGAGTGCCCGCCTCAGAGCGCATGCGAACCCTCGGGCATGTACTGGTACGATCACGCACCCCTTCACCCCTCTGTGCTGCTTCACACTGCCTCAACGACTCATGCCATGAGTGATTCTCTTCTGAGATAACCCAATGAAGACACGAGGGAGGGGACTACCTCTGACCATGATGTCGCTTCAACGCCTCTTGGAGCGCCGGTACCAGGGCGGCATCAAGAACCGCTCCCAGAACGACAGACACGGGTCCAGAGCACCCATGACAATCTCACTGATGTTGTTTCAGTGGCGCGCGATGCATCGTCAGCGAACAAGAAGCCCGAACTCGTGACTGAGTGTCCACCCGAGGCAGGCACACCACCGAAGAAAACACTGCACGAACATGGAGGCATCCTCGGGCGTTGCCCACGGTGGAGCGCACACGTCGCAGCAGGTCCACGCCCGTAAACACAGCGTCTCGAGTATTGATCCTCCTTTCTCTCTTTCGGTAGGATAGATTGCCTTCCAAATATACATTGCCTGACTGCCTCCTCAATGCTCGACGTTCCGTAGAGTGTCGTCCAAAATTACTCGAATGCCAAGGCGCAGTTCTCCTACGCAAAAGCCTCCGCCATGGATGAAGAGATTTCGATATATGCCCCTCCAGCTCAAGATAATGGCATCAAGCCCACGCTCTGTATCGACATGTGCTTCCACAGCCCACGCCGCAGCAGAACACTGTGATGCGCGATTGCCACAATCACAATGCATTACATAGTTGGCGTAGATGAGGCTCACGGTGCAGTCGCTTGGAGGGTGTACTTAGTAGTACAATATACTTCTTCCCACGAAGCCTGCGCATCCATAATCGCATTACCCAAATCGCCTACGATCTGATTACAGTCCTATTCCGCCAGAGTGCCGGATTGCCGTGAGAGCGAGGGAGACGCATGCTTTTCAGGATCGAATCTGCCAACCTGCGCGTCTCTCTTCTGAACGATGACAGGAAGGACTTCTCCGTAACTCCTGCTTGCCCTCCTCCTTCCCCTCGACCCCTCTCGTCCTCCCCTCCCTCCCCCTGCTGCTGCTCCTGCTGCTGCTGCTCCTCCTCCCCTGCTCCCCTTCCGCTGTCCGGGCGGGTGAAAGCCCCTGCGCCCGAGCCAATCGAAGGGTCCCTCCGTAGCAAAAACACGCCGCGAACAGCTGGGCCCCGTCGATCGCACGGGCGGTCGGGGCACGCGGTGGCCCACGCGACCGCACAAAACCGCGTGGCAGAAACGCACAGCCGTCTGGCTCAGGGGGAGCCCCGAGGACGGCGGAAGGAAGAAAGATTTTGGCGGCAGCACACGTTTCACCCCCTTCACCAGTTGCCGTCACAGTCTCCCAGACTCAGGACGAGGGTACAGCCGGAGCATGGCCACAGCAACATCGGTAACAAACATGAGCCCCTCCCATGACAGCATGGAGATGCCACGAACAAAGACCATTCAAAGGCGGATTGGCCCAAAACGAAGAGCAGAAAGGGGGCCCCATCCAAAGAGAAGGTTGCTCGTAACCCTCGTGCCAATTGAGCCGCAAAAGTGGAGAAACACATGACTCTTCGTGTCGGGAAAAGGGGGAGCGAGAGAACGCCCCCAAACAGATGGGGTGGAGGGCCGGCCTCCTCCGCCTGCTTCACGTTGGCCACGGCGACGGCCTCCACCAACTTCCGCTGCTCTGGACTCAGCTCCGTGCCCGCGGAGGGCCCGGCGGAGCCGATGGCGGCGATGGCGCCGCCCAGCCCCGCCTGGATCGGCGGCGTCCTCCTGCTCCTGCCGTGCCCCTCCCCCTCCCCCTCCCCCTCCCCCTCCCCCTCCTCCTCCTCCTCCTCCTCCTCATTTTCCTCCTCCTCCTCATTTTCCTCCTTTTCTCCTGCTCCTCCTTTTCCTCCTCCTCCTCCTCCTTGTCCTCCTCCTTTTCCTCCTCCTTTTCCTCCTCTTTTTCCTCCTCCTCCTCCTCCTCCTCTTTTCCTCCTCCCTTTCCTCCTCCATTTTCATCCCTCCTCCTCCGTTTCCTCCTCCTCCTCATCATCATCCTCCTCCTCCTGCTCCTCCTCCTCCTCCTCCCCTCCCCCCTCCCCTCCTCCCCCTCCCCCTCCTCCTCTCCTCCTCTTCTTCTACTCCTCCTCCTCCTCCTCCTTCTCCTCCTCCTCCTCCTCCTTGTCCTCATACTCCTTTTCCTCCTCATGTTCCTCCTCCTTTGCCTCCTCCTTTCCCTCCTCCTTCTCCTCCTCCTGTTTCTCCTCCTCCTCCTCCTCCTCTTACTATTTTCTTCTTGTATTAGTATTAGTGTCCTCAGTCTTAGTATTACTCGTATTATTCTTTCTAGTGTCATTCTTATTAGTATTCATATTCGTTTGTTGTTCTTCATATTATGTTTACTCTTCCCTACCTAGGCTCTGCCTAGAAGGGTTCTTACCGTGTTCGCTTAAAGGGCCGGGCAGTGTTCCACGCCCCGGGCGGGCCCCCCAGGATCCGCCCCGCGGTTCCCCCAGTGACGTTCCCTGGGTTCATCCAGCTTAGCTAAGCTAAGCTAAACTTAGCTTAGCTTAGCTTCGCTCATCTCATCTTAGCTTAGCTTAGCGTAGCTTTGCCTAGCCTAGCTTAGCTTAGCTTAGCTTATCTCATCTTAGCCTAGCTTAGCTTAGCTTGGCGTAGCTTAGCTTAACTTAGCCTAGCCTGGCCTAGCTTAGCATCGTATAGCTTACCTTAGCTTAGCTGAGCGCAACATAGCGCAGCGCAGCATTAGCACAGCATATCATAGCATAGCATAGCCAAGCATATCATATCATACCATAGCTCAGCATATCATAGCATAGCATAGCATGATACGGCGCAGCATATCATAGCATAACATAGCATTGATTAGCATAACACAGCGCAGCATATCATAGCACAACATAGCATAACATCACATATCATAGCATGTCATAGCATGGCGCAGCATAGCATATCATAGCATAACATAGCTCAGCAGTTCATAGCATAGCATTAGCATGACACAGCGCAGCATAGCATAGCATAGCATAGCATTGATTAGCATAGCACAGCGCAGCATCTCATAGCACAACATATCATAGCATCATACAGCATAGCATAGCATAGCATGGCGCAGCATAGCATAGCATAGCATAGCATAGGGTAGCTTTAGCTTAGATGTAGCTTAGATGTAGCTTATCTTTAGCTTAGATTTAGCTCAGCTTTAGCTTACCTTTACCTTAGTCTTAGCTTAGCTGTAGCTTAGATTTAGCTTAGCTGTACCTTAGCTTTACCTTAGTTTTAGCTTAGTTTGAGCTTAGTGTTAGCTTAGCGTTACCTTAGCTTTACCACAGCTTTAGCTTAGCTTTAGTTTAGCTTCAGCTTAGCTCCAGCTTAGCTTTAGCTTAGATGTAGCTTAGCTTTAGCTTTAGCTTAGCTTTAGCTTAGCTTTACTGTTACTACTAATGCTGCTTTCCTAGGGGCTGCATCTCCTACGTAGGATCGCACTGGGATAATTATCATTCGTATTATTATTAGTCTTCCTCTTCCTCTTCCTCCTCCTCCTCCTCACCGTCTTCTTATTATTATCATTCTTATTATCATTCTTATTATTATTATCCTTAGTATTATTAGTATGCGTCTTCTTAGTCGTCTTATTATTATTCTTCTTATTCTTATTATTAGTGCCATTATTCCTATTATGCTTAATAATAGTATCCTTCCTCCTCCTCCTCCTTTCCCTCCTCCTTTCCCTCCTCCTCCTCCTTCTCCTCCTCTCGGTCTGTTCGTTTGCCGATCCCTCCGAGGCGCTGAGCACCTCGGCCGCCGCCGCCGCCGCCGGAGTTCATCATGCCGACGGGAGGTGCACGCGATGAACGATGGGGGAGCCAGCCAACTGGCGGGGGAGCGGCGGCTGCTCCCCTACGAGGCTGGCCTGATAATGGCAAGCAATTGCACGGCTACGACGCGAAGGCAGGATCAACCAGCACGAGCCCTCGGATGGGGCGGAGGCGCTCGGCCGTGACAGCGACAGCGACGGCGACGCTGCTCTTGACCGAACTCGTGATGACGAGGTCGAGGCACGTTCAAGATTCAGCTGGGGGTGCAACAATTTCGTACGGAGTGTTCGAAACAGATGGTTGCGGCTGGCATCAGGGTCGGCGATGGCACCGCTGGAAGCACGACCATTTATGGTAGTGGCGCAAGCTCTTCTTCAGAACGCTAGCCTCCACAGTTTGATGTTGAACTATTGAGGACCAGGCTTCAGTCTTTGCACGTAGGCGCGTACCGCCGGATACCGAAGAGGCCCTCTGCGCTGGCAAAGCGCAGTTGGCGGAGGGCTACGCGCGAGGAGGAGTAGGAGTAGGAGTAGGAGTAGGAGTAGGAGTAGGAGTAGGAGTAGGAGTAGGAGTAGTAGGAGTAGGAGTAGGAGTAGGAGTAGGAGTAGGAGTAGGAGTAGGAGTAGGAGTAGGAGTAGAAGTAGGAGTAGGAGTAGGAGTAGGAGTAGGAGTAGTAGTAGTAGTAGTAGTAGTAGTAGTAGTAGTAGTAGTAGTAGTAGTAGTAGTAGTAGTAGTAGTATAGTAGTAGTAGTAGTAGTAGTAGTAGTAGTAGTAGTAGTAGTAGTAGTAGTAGTAGTAGTAGTAGTAGTAGTAGTAGTAGTAGTAGTAGTAGTAGTAGTCGTAGAGTAGTAGTAGTATTAGTTGTAGTAGTAGTAGTAGTAGTAGTAGTAGTAGTAGTAGTAGTAATAGTAGTAGTAGTAGTAGTAGTAGTAATAGTAGTAGTAGTAGTAGTAGTAGAAGAAGTAGTAGTAGTAGTAGTCGTCGTAGTAGTCGTAGTAGTCGTAGTAGTAGTAGTCGTATTATTATTATTATTATTATTATTATTATTAGTCGTAGTAGTAGTAGTAGGAGGAGGAGGAGGAGGAGGAAAAGAAGGGGGGGGATGCGGAAGGAATGGCCAGGGGGCGCCCCCTGCACAGGGGGCATGCGCGGCGACGGGCGGCCTGCGCGCCCGCGTGCCACGGGGAAGCAGAGGGAGGCACCGCGCACGAGTTTGGCTCAGGGGCGGGGGATCTCCTGCTTAAGAAAGATCCCCCACTGTCTGCGAAGAGAGGAGTTAGGAAACGGAGCTGTAGCGTCGAAATCGTCCACCTCCTCTTCCTCCTACCCCTCCTCGTCGTCCTCCTTATCCTCCTCTTCCTCTTCGTCCCGCTCCTCCTCCTCCTCCTCCTCCTCCTCCTCCGCCTCCTCATCCTCCCCCTCCTCATCCTCTTCCTCCTCGTCGTCCGACGCCGCCGCCGCTACCGCCACACGACAACCATGACGGCGACGTCGGCGAGGGCTCGCAGGGTGGGGGCAGGACGGGGACGGGTACGAGAAAATGGAGAGGGCAGGCAGGCAACGAAGAGGACGAGCGCGAGGACGACGAGGACGACGACGAAAACGGCGCGAACGACGCCTACGTCGACGACGACGACGATGGCGGCGTCCCACTCCGCCTGGAGCTGCGCCATCTGGTCGGCCGCGGACTCCTGATTGCCGAGGCGGCGCTGCTCCTGGCGAGCGACCAGGCCCCTCCTCGCCAGGCTCCTCCTCGTCATCCTCGTCCCCGCATCCTCCCTGCCTCCTCCTCCTCCTCCTCCTCCTCCTCGTCCTCGTCCTCGTCGTCGTCGTCCTCCTCCTCCTCCTCCTCCTCCTCCTCCTCCTCCTCCTCCTCGTGCTCCTTCTCCTCCTCCTCCTCCTCCTCCTCCCTTCTCCTCCTCCTACTACACATTGCTTTCCTGGAGCTCCTTGCCCCTTCCGCCCTTTGCCCCCCATTCCTCTTCCATCTTCTCACCCCTCCTACCTCCTTCGTGAGCCATCAGCAATTGTCCCTCCTACTTCCTCCATATTCCCGCCCCCTCCGCCCTCATCCCCTTCTCACCCCCGTCTTGCTCAATCCCCCATCCTCCTTCCTCTTCCCCCCTCCTCCTGTCAGCATCCCTCCCCCTCCTCTTCTGGCGGAGGCAATACGCAGCGCAGGAGGAAGTAGGACAAATCCCACCTGCCCTCTGGGTGCAGGCGGTCTAGGGCGTTTCCTCCTCCAACCACCTGTGCTCCTTCCGGGAGGGGTCACACCCTCCCCCAGGCGACTGGCAGCCAACCAGGAACCATGAGGACACCATGCGGACCCCTCCACGCCATCCCTTTCAAAAAACAATACAAAACCCACTCTGCCTCCACACCTGGAGCGTGCGCGGCCAACCCGATGCGCCCCCCCACCCCCCCCCACCCCAGCGTCGCGCACGTGGGGTAGTTTTGGCTCCCAGCAGCTGCCCATTCCAAAGACTACCGATGACCATGCTCAGGCTCGGGTGTTCCTGTATGCGTTGGGAGGGCGGGTGGGAGTGAGCTGCTCACGTCCTCCTCACCCCTCCCTAACCCTCCCTAACCCTCCCTCTAACCCTCTACCCCTTGGGGCGGACTCCTTCCTCTAACTCTCTAACCCTCCCTCTAACCCTCCTCCCTCTAACCCTCCCTTGGGGCGGACCCCTCCCCCTAACCCTCTACACCACGTCCTCCTCACCCTGGGCCTGGGCGGTGCGCTCCGCGAAGGATCACGAGCGTCCACGACGGCCCAAGATGGCCCAAACTGAACTCCAGAGAACCTGAGGTGGCCTCACAAATTGCCCGCAATACTCCGCAATGTTTCGAGGTAGTCTCCGACATACCTCCAATATAGCCCCGAGACGGTTCCAACTGCCCTCTGGACGTTCCAAGGCACCCTCCAGGAGGCCACAATCCTTCAAACATGCTTGGGGGACAATGGTGGGTTGCCCTTCTCGCATTCTCGCTTCTGATAGGCCTTCGAGGCCTTAGGATGGCTCCGAGACGGCCCCAGAGCGCACCAAAGGGGCCCGAGACACCCCCAAAACGGCCCGAACCACGCTCACGAAGCACCCGAAAAACGTGCCGGGATGGACCCAAGAAAGATCCACTTGGCCTCCGAAAGGGCGATCCGACTTGACGCCGCCCTTTCGTTTTCAGGCGAGGCCTCTGCGAGTGCAGACGGCTCCACTACTCCCTCAAGGAGCCTCAAAGAGGCCCCCAAGAGGGCTCCGACGGGCTTCAGAAGTGGCTCCCAAGATGGCTCCGACGGGCCTCCAGGAGGCTTACCCAAGGCTCGCGGAGCGGAGCCTCCGCGAAAGCTATAAAGATGACTTGTCCGGGTGGTCGTCGTCGTCGTCGTCGTCGCCGTCGTCCTCGTCGCCGTCGTCGCCGTGTGGTCGTCGTCATCGTCGACATCGTCGGCGTCGTCGTCGTGTCATTGTTCCTCCCCCCTCCTGGTTCTGGTTCGCCTTCTTCCTCCTCCACCTCCTCCCCCCTCCCTGCTCATCGTTTCAAGATGAATGGACGCCCAGCTTGATGGATTCTCCCGTCGCAGGTCGGATTCGTTTCTCAGTGGCTTGCATTGGCGGATGTCCCGCTGCATGATTCGATATGTCTTTGGTCAAAACAACTCGCTGGACCATCGCTTCTGAATGGTGCGCGCGCTGCTCACTCGAGGCCCCCACGAGGCTTCTAACAGAGTTCGCCAGGGCATCGCTTCTGGATGACTCGTGGATGCTCTGCGCCGCTGGTTTGCCTCCAATGCGGCCTGGGACCCCCTTGGGGGGCAACGATGGTGCGGACGATGCTCCCAAGCGGCTCAACATCGCCGCCGTGGCATGGGAACATGTGTGACAAACACCCGGTACTCGGTATCTGTGCCCGCCAACGTCCGAGATACTCAAGACGCCAAGCCCCGGCCCCGACGCCAAGACGTCTGAGATACCCCCTGGAGGCAGGAGCGGCATGGGTAGATTCTTATGCTTATTCAACATCGGTTCCCTCTCTTTTCTGCGCCCCTGACCACCCACCACCGCGGCCTAGCACTATCGGGGCAGGGCATGCGACGGCGGATGCTGAGAAAGAGAGATGCATGGATAATGAGGCAGGAGGCATGGGACATAAACGGGGAGAGGAAAATGGCGAGACGGCGGAAGCGGAGGAGGGGGAGGAGGAGGAACCTGTTCGTCGCAGCGGCGTGAGCCGACCACGAAGCGTTCGGCTACTTGCCGGGCCGCGGCCAAGCGAATTGTACACCAGAAGTTCTGGAGAGGAGAAGGAACACGTAGGAGGCGGATTGGGGGACGGAAGGAGGAAGGATGAAGATGAACCGGCGGAATCCGTGCGGCGACTGGCAGACCGACCCCGCACGCACTCTGTGCCAGTGTACATTTCGCGGGCGGCGGTCGATGCCGCAGTGGAGCCCCACAGAGAAGCCTCCTTGACAGCAAAGCAGACCAACAATGCTGGGAGTGGACGAGATGCCGCCCGCCCTCGTCACAAGTGCCGTGCAGAAGGCGGGCAGGACCCAGCCGACCCCATACCTGGTCACCAGTGGCAGCCCCTCTGCGAAACAAGTCCAGAGAGAGCCACACTTAAGTCGGGCAAGTCCCCCTACAGAGGGGTTTTGGACGAAGAATAAAAAATACCCTCAAAAGATTCCCAAATGGTTGGAAAATAGGTAAAACATCGTTTTGGGACTATTTTTAAAAATTATTGTTGAATACTCCTCCTGTAGATGGACAGGCCCGACTTAAAGCTGCACGTCCCACGGCAGCTGGAGCCTTCAGGCCAGGCCGCTGCGCCTGGCACACGATGTCTTCAGCGTTCCACGCCGCGCCCCGCAGTTGCCACTCGTCCGACCACGGTCTGAAGGCTCGTCGTGGAAGAACCGGTCGCGCCCGCCACGAACACGCCGAGTGGCGCCAGCGCTGTGCTGATGCGACGAGGCGTCGCCCGCCCCCGCTCGAGAAGAAGGAAACAGGGGCCATGACCAAGATTCAACGCGGAAGCGACGTGCCGATCTTGGTCAGGATTCACCTTCGCCAGCGCCGATCCGTGGAACATCCTCGCAAATCGACGACGGCCGACCTGGAACATGACCAGCATCGGCATCGACAAGATCCCGCGACACCCCGTGTTTCTTCCCTCTTTGGCGGCGCGCACAAGGGGATGGAGGGAGGGGGGGGCTTCTTCGAAGGAGGCTGCTTCTTAGAAGGCGCTGGCCTTACATCTATAGATAAGGCCCGCGCCTTCTAAGAAGCAGGGGGGCTTTTAAGAAGCGCTCCCCCCTCCCCCCACCCCCCAAAGCATCGCGACGCCTGGCCGGTCGTCGTCGCTGACTTCGTCGACGTCGTCGCCGTCGCCGTCGGTGGGGCAGGAGGAGGAGGAGGAGGCAGGAGGAGGAGGAGGCATGAGGGGCAGGAGGAGGAGGAGGAGGAGGAGGGGAGAGGAGGAGGAGGAGGGGGAGGAGGAGGAGGAGGGAGGGGGAGGAGGGGGAGGAAGGGGGAGGAGGAGAGGGAGGAGAGGAGGAGGAGGAGGAGGAGGAGGAGGAGAGGAGGAGGGGAGGAGGGAGGAGGAGGAGGAGGAGGAGGAGGAGGGGGAGGAGGAGGAGGAGGAGGAGGAGGAGGAGGAGGAGGAGGAGGAGGAGGAGGAGGAGGAGGCGGAGGAGGAGGAGGAGGAGGAGGAGGAGGAGGGCAGGTCGCGTGGCTGACCTCCGCCCGCCGCGGAGTCCGGTTCGCGCCCCGAGCTGGCCGGACCCTCGCGCCGCCGCCCCCGGAAGAAGGGCAGCGCTCCGCGGCCACGCCGCGAGGCGCAGGACGCGCTCGTCGCTGCGGCCCCCCGTGGCGGCCCGCCAGGGCCTCGCCCCAGCTCGGGTCATAACCGATTATTTTATTTTTTCTACTCATTTACATTTTTCCCAAAAAAAAACAAATGGAAGTCCGCTGCCCTTCTAGAAGGCTTTCCTGGACACCACGATCAACGACTGCTGCGGAAACGCACAGGCAAGACGCGGCAATGGCTCCGGGCTCGGGTGGTCTTGCGGGCGTGGCCTAAATTTTGCCCGCGGCTAGGGAAGAGACGGAGGAGGAAGGCCACCCCCCATGGAGCCCAAGAGAAAGCGAAGACACAGAGATCGCTCAAGGTGCTCAGGCCTCGACCCATGGCAGGTCAGAATCGAGCTCTGCCTCTCCCAGGGGCCGATCTGCGTCCGGCGGCGGCCATGCACCCCCCCCCATCCCCTGGGAGGCCCATGAGATAGCGAAAACGCACCGAGGATTGAGGATTGAGGATTGAGGATCCTGTGTTTTTTTGTGTTTTTTCCCCCTGGGAGGTCCACGAGAAAGCGAAAACGCACCGGTCATTGAGGGTCCTCGGGCCTCGTTCTGGACGCTGCGCTGAACGCGAGGAGGCCAGCGCCGCTCAAAGGCGGCGTGCCGGACGCCGCCCTCGCGAGCGGTAGGCACCGCACAGAGCTGTCGCAACAAGGAAGCAGAGGGCCAGCAGTGCCAGCAAGCGCGTGGGAGGGGCATCCCGAGAGTCCGCTGCGAGCTCGCGGAGTGGCAACAGCCCCTCCCCCTTGCAAGCTTCATTATCTTCTTCTTCTTCTTCTTCTTTTTCTTCTTCCTCCTCCTCCTCATCCTCCCTCCGTCCCTTCCTCCCTCGTTCCTCTCTCCTCCTCCTCCTTCACCTCCTCCCCTGCCTTCTTCCTCCTCCTCACCCTCCTCCAACCAACTCCTCCTCCTCCTCCTCCTCCTCCTCCTCCTCCTCCTCCTCCTGCTCCTGCTCCTGCTCCTCCTCCTCCGCCTCCCCCTCCTCCTCTTTCCTGCCTGCTCCTTACATGTTTCTCCCAGCAGTTCCTCGGCCTCCATCCTCTATCCTTGCTCCTGTATTCGTCCCTCTGGCATGCAGGTGGCAGAGCGTGCGGGACTGGCCTGAGGGAAGGTTTCTCACAAGAACTCCTGACCACGATAGTCCGAAGACCCACGGGCGGAGGCAGCGGAGGCGCACGTGACAGGGAGGCGTTGCGGCCCGACGACCAGGAATGGCAAACCAGCCCTCGAGCAAAACAGGCTCCCCCCTCTGCTTCCCCCTCCCCCTCTCCCCTGTCCTCCCTCCTCCGCCACAAAGTGGACGGACGACAAGGCCGCCGACGCGGACGAGGAGGGCGTAGGAAGAGAAACATGACGAAGGGCGACGACGGCGACGACGGACGACGGACGGACGACGGACGAGCGACGACGGACGACGAACGACAGACGACGGACGACAGACGACGACTTGACTTGGTTTGGCTTGACTTGACTTGGCATGGCACGGTTATCAAGAGGCGACTCTCAGGTCCAGACCGTCTCGGCGTGACTAGATTGAAAAGTATGAGGAAACAAAACTGTGCTCCTGCAAGACTCGCTCTTGGGATGCACAGATGCTGCAGATCGGAAGAGCATATAACAAGGTTCCGTCCTGACTCCCAACTGGGGTCCAAGCCGGCAAAGCTCGTCTTCTCAGATTGCTGGACTCCGCCCAGACACGCAGCGTAATGAGCTGGTTAACAAACCCCAGAAGCACGTAAACAGATTCCCCCAAGTCGATCCCCTAAAACGATGTCCGGAACGCATCAGATATAAAACTCAGATAGATCCAGGTAACATCCTGACAACGTCGTTTGTGTTTGCCGTCGCCAGAGGGTTACTCGTTCTTCCAAAACGTACCTTTCTGAAGTGCAACCAGCTCTTCTGGGTCTCATTCCAGCTGCCAGCCTGGATGGCCAAATCGCGACAGGAGACGCCATAGTAGTCCACGAGTTGTTTTTCATACCTCCAGGCGTGAAAATCATAGTGGTGTCTCTGGCTCCTAAGAACGACTTCAAGATGGCGAAGGTACCTGAGTCCTTGTACAACGAGGCCTGAAGTACAACCCGTGAAGGGTCATAACAAGCCATCCTCGCGACGTGCCCAGCCCAACGATGACCACACAGTAGGACGTGGACATCCCAGGTTTGGACCCCGAATTCTCCAGCAGGTGTTTGACGTGGCGTAACATTCGTTTCATACACTGCTCCACTTCTTCTTCATCAGATTTGACGACGACGACGACGACGACCACGACGACGACGACGACGACGACGACGACGACGACGCACGACGCACGACGCACGACGCATGACGCGCGGCGGCGGCCGGCGGCGGCGCACGCGCGCCCCGAGGACCGCGCGACGACGCGCGGCGCACGACGCACGACGGCGGCGGCGGCCGGCGGCGGCCCTCGCGCGCCCCGCGGGGCGGCGGCGCAGCGCCATAGGCTTCGGTCGGGCATGTCCCCCTAGAGGGGGATTCTGGGCGAAACACTAAACATGATGGACCCACGAACCCAGAAAGGGATATAGACATGTGCAGCATGGTCACGTTTTCACGATACCCATTTGGGCGACACCTCACGAAACATCCCACGAGACACCCCGCCAAACATCCCACGAGACACCTCACCAAATATTCCACGAGACACCTCACGAAACATTCCACGAGACACCCCGTGAAACATTCCACGAGACACCCCACGAACAGGCAACCACTCAACCAGACACCCCACGAAACATTCCACGGGGGTGCGACTGGGTGTGGTCATGCTGGGGTGTGGTCGTGCTGGGGAGTGGTCGTGCTGGGGTGTGGTCGTGCTGGGGGGTGGTCGTGCTGGGGGGTGGTCGTGCTGGGGGGGTGGTCGTGCTGGGGTGGTCGTGCTGTCGTGCTGGGGCGTGGTCGTGCTGTGGGAGGTCGTGGGGTGGTCGTGCTGGGTGTGGTCGTGTCGTGCTGGGGTGTGGTCGTGCTGGGGTGGGGTCGTGCTGGGGTGGGGTCGTGCTGGGGTGTGGTCGTGCTGGGGTGTGATCGTGCTGGGGTGGGGTCGTGCAGAGATGGGGTCGTGCTGGGGTGTGGTCGTGCTGGGGTGTGGTCGTGCTGGGGTGTGGTCTTGCTAGGGTGGGGTCGTGCATTTCGCTCGAGACATCCTGCCAAAATTCGAGGAAATCCTAGAAACACAAACGAATTAGTCGAGACATCCTCGAAAGCGGGACGCGGCACGCGCGAGACATCCTCGGAATTCCTGCGCGCGGGGCGCTTTTCCGCGTCGCGGTCGGCTCTGCAAATCCAGCGTTTCGCTCGAGACATCCTCAACAAATTCTGAAAATAAGCGTTTCGCTCGAGACATCCCCAACTCTGCAAACCTGACCGGACAAGAACGGGAAGCGCCGTTTTTTATCCACCACGTGCGTCAGAGGCCGTATTGGCGAGAACGTCAGAGAAACCCATAAACGCAACAGAACAGACTAAATGATGGCCTGCCGCGCTGGTCTGTCGAGGTAGTCTGCTGCCCTGGCCACATCGTGGTGTCGACACCGTGCTTTTCTCTCGGCCACGCGGGCCCCCACCCGTTGTCGCCCAGCCTACTTTTTCTGTTCCAGCCTGTCTTGTCTTTTGTTTGTCCGTCGTCGTCGTCGCGTGCCTTTCCTTTGTCGTGGTCGTCGTTTTCATTATAATCGTCCGCTGTTGCCGTTCTCGCTGTCGCCGTCGTTATCATTTTATGATTGCGGTCGTTTTTCTGATTGTTTTTTTGTTGTTGGATTCCGTGTTCGGTTGGTTTTTGTGTTATGTTTGTGGTCGTTTTCTGTCATCGTTTTTTGTCGTAATTTTCGAGATCGTTATTGACGAAGACGACGACGACGACGACGACGACGACGACGACGACGACGACGACGACGACGACGACGACGACGACGACGACGACGACGACGACGACGAGAGGAGGACCCGTGCCGGCTGGCTCGGGGTGCCCGCGTCCCTCTGCTGCCGCAGGCCGCCGCCAGCGAGTTCCGAAGTGCGGGCCCGTACCCCTTAGTTAGGGAGAATGAAGCCCCAGAACCAACGGTGCACGCCGGAGGCGCTTCCCGTCATCCGCCAACGAAAAATGTGAGCCTTTGGGGGTGCTGAATTCCTCAGAACCAACGGTACACGCCGGAGGCGCTTCCCGTCACCAGGGGAGGCAGGACGGTCCCAGCAGGTCGGAGGCCGTCTTGAGGGCAGCCTGGGCCGTCTTGGGGTCTCCGTGGGCCGTCTTGGGGCTCTCCGTGGGCCGTCTTGGGGGCCCCCTGGGGGCCATTTGGGGTCTCTTGGGGCCCTCCGTGGGCCGTCTTGGAGCCCTCCGGGAGCGACTCCAAGAGGATGTCGGTTCGGAGCCCCCTCCTTAGCCGACTTTTTGAGGATGTCCCGAGCGAAACCGCCAAAACCTGACCTGACAAGAACGGGAAGCGAATGTTCGAACGTTCGTTGCAGGTGTGGCATCACATGGGGACGTCAAAACTGGAACGCTTGTGCGAACAGGAGGGGACTGCGTGGTGCCCGAGTCAAGGATCCCTCGAAAATATACGACGCTCGCGCTCCCGAGGCGCAGATCCCTCGTAAAGTACACGCGATACGCGCCTCCGAGGCCACGACCCATTGCAAAGTACTCTGGGTTCATGCCTCGGCGACCAGGACCCACTGAATAGCAGCCAGATTCACGCCCTGGAACCGCTATTACTTGTATTGTGCGCAAGCGGTCAGTTACCACGCGGCCCCCGCGTCCACCTTCACGATCCCGAGCTATCCGCCGTCCCCTTGGGGTTCGGTCCGGCTGGCTTGCAGGGGGGGGGGATCCGGTTAAACGGACTAGATCCCTCACCCCTCCCAGGAATGGCCAGGATGCCTCCGGCCGTCTCCGGCCACTCCAAGATGCTCCAAGAAGGCCCATTATATTTTGAATACGACCAGCGATAACCCCAAGACGGTCCAAGAGGCCTGTAACATGAACCCTCTTGGATCCCTCTGGCGCCGTTTTCGGGCCCTCTTGAGCTGTCTTGGGGCTGTGTAACCCGAATTCGGGACAAGGAGATGAAAAATCTAGTGACCTTCGGTCCATCCCGCCACCGTGCCGGGGTATTGAGAATGAGACGAAGTGAAAGTTCGCTGGGCTCTTTTGGGAGGCTTCTCGCGGGCCGTTTTGGGTCCTCTTGGGGCCTCTTTTGGGCCTCTTGGGGGCCTTTTGGGGCGTCTTGGGGGCCTCTCGGGGGCCTAAAGGGCTCGGGGTAAAATCCATATGGGCTTTTGCGCCTCGAGGAACGATCCGTCTTGTGATTCTCCTTTTGCAGGTTCAAGCCTCGAAAGCCCATCGAAACGGCATTTCAGAGTGCACCCTTTGCCCTCCACCTGAAGAAAATGCTCGGAAGTCGGATCGGCGATCGACATGAATCGGATCGGCGGATAATCGGCAGCCGAGTCGGGAGGAGTCGAATCGGCGGAAATCGGCAGAACAGTAGGGCCTCGTTGAGACGTCGGGATCCACATCGGCATCCGAAGCCGCATCGGATCGGAATCGGAATCCATCGAAGGGATCGGAAGCCGAATCGAATCGGAATCGACCGAGGCGACGATAGGGGCGAACAGTCCAGCGGGGAGCAGTACATGTATCCAGGGGCGCTGATGACCCATGTCTTCGGCGAGGCTCCCGGGCGAATGCGTGTAATGCCCGCCCGTGGGCTATTCGCCCCTATCGTCGCCTCCGAATCGAATCGAATCGGAGGAATCGAAGCGAGCCCGGCGTGGGATCCTCGGCCGCGGCGTGCTCCGCTGCCGTCTCGTCCTCGCGGCGCGCCGCGGCCCGCCCGCCGCGGCGGCTCTCCGCGCGACCCTTCGGCGGGCCCTTCGGCGGCCCTTCGGCGGGCCGTCGGAGGTCCTTCGCCGGGACCCTCGACGGCCCTTCCTAAAGGGGCCCAGGGACACACAGATCAACACACGCAAATCCCAGGAGCCCCCCCTCCATTCTCCCACACTCTCTGGGCTCTCGCCTCCCCCCCACTTACCACTACCTTCCCGCCTCTTCCCGCGAGTCGACGACCCATCGTGTCTGTGTGCTCTCGCCCCTCCTGACCTCGGCGGGCCTTCGGCGGCCCCATGGCATCGTTTGGGCCAAGCCGCGGTCTGATGTCCAGGCCAGGCCGTGAGGCCGCCGCCGGCCTCCGCCGGGGGAGGGGAGGGGAGGAGGAGGAGGAGGAGGAGGAGGAGGAGGAGGAGGAGGAGGAGGAGGAAGAGAAGGGAAGGAAGCGGAGGGGAGGGGAGGGAGGAGGGAGGGGAGGAGGGGAGGGGGAGGGGGGGAGGGGGAGGGGGAGGGGGAGGAGGAGGAGGAGGAGGAGGAGGAGGAGGAGGAGGAGGAGGAGGAGGAGGAGGAGGAAGGCAGTGGCCTTGGGGGCCCCTCCGTGGCTCGGGTGGCGTCGTCGTCATGGTCGTGGTTGTCGTCTGTCGTCGCGGTCGTCGTCGCGGTCGTGGTCGTCGGTCGGCATTGCAAAATCCGCAACCGTACCTTTGGGCACAGAGTGGGCGTGTCGTCAGGTCCTTTGCCTAGTCCCTGGAGCCTCAGTCGTCAGTGCTGAGGAGTCGTGGCCGACATTTGCTTCGAAGGAAACGACGCTAATTGATAATTTCTTTTTTTGTCGGCGGTTTTGTGCGGTCGCCGACGAATCCATCGAAAAACGCAATGGTTGCGTCTTCCGTCCGCCCTCCGGCCTACCGTTTCCACCTCCGCATTCGTTTCTCGCTTCTTTTGCGCACCGTCCTGACGCATCTGCATCCCGCCTCCGCCCTACCGCCCTTCCCCCCTCCCCCCCCCGCGCCCTGCCCCTCTTCTGCCTCCAGGCGGAAGGGGAAGGGAGCGCGCGGGAGGTAACCGGGGGGGGGGGGGCAGGGGGGGCGGCGGAAGAAGGAGGGGGGGGGGGGGGGGGGGAACGGCAGGGGAATAAAGGAGGCAGGACGGGGAAGGGAGAGAAGGGGGAGCGAAGGGGGGGGAAAAGGGAAGAGGGAGAACGGACGGAGGAGAGGAGATGGAGGGTGGGAAGCGGAAGGCGGCGGCGCGCGCGGGCCGCGCTTTCCACAACCAGCTGAATCGACTTAGACGCCCACGGGCGCCCGCAAGCGCGGGCGGCTCGGGCGGCGCGGGGGGCGGCGGGCAACGCGGGCGGGCGGCGGGCAAGTGGCGCGGGCGCCGGGCGGGCGGCGGGAGGCCGGCGGGCGGGCGGGCGGGCGGGCGGGCGGGAAGTGAATTACCAAGGGTACTTCCCTGGCGAATTCTCGCACAGCCTGCGCGGGGAGAACTTCGCGGGGCAATTTCCGTGCCCAGCGCGCGGCACCTCCTGGCGTCCGATTACGCAAGGGAATCCGCTGGGAAATCCGCCAGGAAGTTAATAGGGGAAATTGGCGGGGACATGTAGCCAGGAAATGAACGGGGAAATTCGCCAGGAAGCTTGGCCGGGAAATTAGCAGGGAGACTCATGGATGTTTTGATCCTAAGCAACCCGTTGCAGTGGGCTGCCCGCAAGGAGCCACGGGGCACGGCGGGCTCGCCGCACGTTGGCGGGGGGGCACAACGCATTAAACAAAAACAGAAGGCATGAACGAGCTTCGCCAAGCCTCTCCGGGGCCATCATGCGCGCGAAGTTGCGCGCCCCCCCAATTATATTTTTACTTGGGGCGCGCATCCGCAGCCGCGCGCCTGGCAGAACGGAAACACGGCGAGGCGCCATTGCAGACCTCCGCGGGGGAACAAGGAAGGGGGAGGAGAAGGAACACCATAGCTCTGCGCGGCCCGAAGCCGTGTCTGTCATCGCGCTGAAGGCCGCCACCACCGAAGCACTGCTCGCGCGATCCATGCACAAGGCGCAAGCTGGCATTTAGAACAAAAGCGTGCCTCGATGCCACCTGCGCGACGCTGTCGCCCGTCCAATGCAATGCATCGATCTTGGGGCACGCGCGAAGAGCGCGCTGCCACCAAAGAATCGGCGAGCGGAAAAAGAAGACAATCGCCCAACACATAAATAAGAGATCCGAACTTGTTGGTCGAGAATTATCTGGCGAACATATGCGTCCCGAAAACCCATTGAGCCAGAATTTGCGCTTCACAGCAAAAGTCCGCCACGAGAGGAACCTTCACAGGGCCGGGAGCCCCATTGCGGAAATGTTGCTGGTTCTCCCGCCGTTCCTCTGGGCTCCCCCACAGCTTGTCGCATGATTTGTTCGGGCCAAAGAAGGCCCCAAGGCGGGCCAAGAGGGCCCCAAGAGCCCCCGAAGACGGTCCAAGAGGGCCCCGAGTCGCCGATCGATCGCTCCGAGACGCCCAAGATGGCCCCCATACGGCTCAAGAGGCCTCCAAGACGCCCCTAGAGGCCTCCAAGAGGCCCCCCAAAGAGGGCCCAAGAAGCCGAAGCCATTGATGTTCCTTCGGTGTTTAATACTTTTTAGCTGTCTCGCCTCTCGGCTTCCCGACGCTCCCAAACGACCCTTGAGGCCTCCAAAACCGTCCCACGACGGCCCAAGAGGCCTCCAAGAGGGCCAAAACAAACCAAGACGACCCCAGAGGCGCCCAAGACGGCCCCCAAAAGAGCCCATGAGAACACGGACTGAAAATCCGAGCCTTCCGCTCCAAGCCGCCCCCAGGAGGTCCCAAGAGGCGCACGGGAGGCCCCAAGAGGCCCCCATGAGGCCTCCGAGAGGCCCCCCAAAGACCCAAGAGAGGCCACAAGAGGCCCCCAAACGGCCGCTCCAAAACGGCCCCCAAAAAGGCCTCCAGACTGCCTCCAAGAGGCCCCCGATAGGCCTGCCACGAGATCCCAACGAACATCCAAGAGGCTTCATGCCCACAACCCATGAATGGTGGCCTGATCGGCGGAGGCCATTAGATATTTGATGCATCCTGGGTTTACTCGACTCCTCCTTCTTATTCCCCTCTTCAATGACCCCTGCCCCTCGCTCATGGTTTCTCGCTCGTCTCTCTTACCCGTCCTCGTATTTTGTTTAAGCAACCTGGACTTAGGGAGACCAGTAGCCGTAGCGTTACAATGAAAAGAAACACAAACAAAGTGCAACATGCAACAGCAGTAGCCGAAAAGAACACACAAACATCTAAAGATGTAATACATCGTGCCTCGTCATGCGTCCGTCGGTCCAATGCGGCTCACAAGGCCTTCAAAATGACCACACGCAGCCTCAGAGGACGCTAGAATGACGCAGGAGGCCTCCAATAGACCCCCAAGTTCGCCCCAAGTCAGCCAAACAGGCGGCCCAAGAGGGCCCCAAGACGGTCCAAAAGGCCTCCCAAAAGGGCCCCCAAGTCCTCAATGGGGCCCTATGAGGGGGAATCCGAACTGACATACCGAGCCTTCTCCGAGGTACTAGGCCTCCCAGAGGCCCCCAGAGACCCCAAATACTGCCCCAAGAGTGTCAGAATGCCTCAACAAAGCCGCCAAGAGGTCTCCGAGACGGCTCCCGAAAGACACCAAGAAACCTTGTGAAGAGGCGTCTTGTCCACAACCCCATCTGGCCCCAAGCGTGCCCCAGCAATCGTTACGCTTCCTCCTCCTCCTGCTCCTGCTCCTGCTCCTCCTCTTCCTCCTCCTCCTCCTCCTCAATTGTTCTTTTTCTCCTCCTCCTCCTCTTCATCATCATCATCATCATCAGCATCAGCAGCATCAGCATCAGCATCAGCATCAGCATCAGCATCAGCATCAGCATCAGCATCAGCATCAGCATCAGCATCAGCATCAGCATCATCATGATCATGATCATGATCATGATCATCATCATCATCATCATCATCATCATCATCATCATCATCATCATCATCATCATCATCATCATCATCATCATCATCATCATCCATCACCATCATCATCATCATCATCATCATCATCATCATCATCATCATCATCAGCATCATCATCAAATCCTGTTCATCCTCCTCCTGCTCCTCCTTCTCCTCCTGCTCGAAGAGAGCCCTCCGATGCATCTGGCACCCCAATTATCGATCCCGCCGACGTCAGAGTAATCCAGTCCCGAAGCAGGAAAAACCCGAAGATATCGTTAACAGCAAAAAAGCAGATACCATGATTCCCAATTCCGCGGGGGGGCCGATGGGAGAAAGAGGAATGGGACAGCCCAAGATGAGCCCACGCTCGACGGACCAGGCACCCAGGGGCGGCAGAGCACTGACTGGGAGCGAGAAGCGTGTGCGACTCCCCCGAGTGGCGCGACGCAGCTCACCGAGGTCACTTGGAGCTCCGCGGGGTGGCGCTTGGGTCCGTTTTGGGCCAGGCCGAAGCGGGACCCACTTACCACTTACGCCACCCGCGGAGCTGAGACAGGTCAGACTTGCAGCAGAACGTGCGCATATGCATTCTCCTGTGGCGAGAGGACGACCGCAGAACCCTCACGCAGGCGCTGGCTGGTGTAAGGATGCTGGCCCTGCAGTAACTTGCCTCGTCTGCACCTGGCCTGGGAGTTGGCAAGCTGACCCTCACAAGTCTGAAGGATTTTCTTAGCCCTGCCGCTCGAGAAGGCCCCACAGTTGCCACAAAACAAGAAACTGCCAGCACGCCAGAGAGGGGGATGGAGGAAGGGAGGGGCGGAGGGAGGGGGAGGGAGGGAGGGAGGGGTTGAGGGAGGGAGGGAGGGAGGAGAAGGAGGAGGAGGAGGAGGACAAGGAGGACAAGGAGGAGGAGAAAAAGGAGGAAGACCGACCAGACGGGCCTCACACCTGCTCCTGCTCGCTCCTGCCCGCTCCTCCCTCCTTGAGAAGGCGGCGCCCGCGCCTCCTTGTAGTTGCACGCCTCGGCGCGGCGCGAGGCGGGAGAGGCTGCTGGCGCGGCAGCCACGCGGCCTCCCACCACAGCACGGGGAGGGGGGGGGGGGTAGGACAGTGAGGAAGGTCAGCGGGGAGGGAGGGGGAGAGGGAAGGGGACGGTGGAGGAGGCCGGGGGAAGGCGAGTGGCGGGAGGGAGGCACGCAGGGCGGGAGGGAAGTCCACCCTCGCGCACGCTGGCCGGGAGGCGGCGCAAGCCCACGGGGGCGGGCGGGCTGCACCCGCCGGGGCCTCTCGCCTCTCCGGACCTGCGCCGCCCGGGAGCGCCGGGGGGGCAGGGGCTGCGCTGGCGCAGCGGCGCGCGCGCGGGGGAGCAGCCCGGGCTGGCCTTCGCATGCCCTGCGTGTGCGGCCACCTCGGACTTACGCCACCCGGCACCTCATGAAATTGCCACACCCTGGTACGGCCTTCTGTCTTACCCTGCCACTTCCGATCCACTGCCCGTGTACGCCTGCGCTCTGGCACACACGTGCAAGATCTTCACAATCTCAGCGTGCTCTGCCGCCCACGGCTTTCAATGTGCCCCTTCTGTCTTCCTTCATGCCCCATGCGGCTCCGATGTGTCCATCGGCTGTCCCGACCGCGTCCTGGACTCAGGTCGCCGCTGACAAAAACATCTAGAACAAACAAATACCTATACGACCAACCTTCGGGTGATAAGGAGGTTCGGGGGGGGAGGAACCAACGTCTTACTCCATCGGTCTCACTATCGATCTCACTATCGATCTCACTATCGGTCTCGCTCGATCGGTCTCACCCGATCGATCTCACAATCGATCTCACTCGATCTATTTCATTCGATCGATCTCGCAATCGATCAGACTATCGATCTCACATTCGATCTCACTATCGATCTCACATTCGGTCTCACTATCGATCTTACGGTCGATATCACAGTCGATCTCACAATCGATCTCACAATCAACGTCATCATCATCAACATCATCGTCATCAACGTCATCAACATCATCATCATCAACAACAACATCAACATCAACATCATCATCATCATCATCATCATCATCATCATCATCGGCACACCATCATCATCACCACCTCATCACCATCATCAACATCATCGTCATCACCATCATCATCACCATCGGGACACCATCATTGTCACCATCAGCATCAACAACATCAACATCATCAGCACACCATCATCATCATCACCGGAACACCATCACCATCACCACCATCACCATCATCATCATCATCATCATCATCATCATCATCATCAACATCGTCATCATGATCATCATCATCATCATCATCATCATCATCATCATCATCATCATCATCATTATCATCATCATCGGGACACCACCATCATCACCACCATCACCATCATCACCATCATCATCATCATCAACATCGTCAACATCATCATCATCATCATCATCACCATAATCATCATCATCATCGGGACACCACCATCATCATCACCATCAGCATCAGCATCATCATCATCATTATCATCATCATCGGGACACCATCATCGTCATCATCATCACCATCATCACCATCGGGACACCACCATCATCATTACCATCAGCATCAACAGCATCGTCATCAACCTCAACCTCATCATCATCATCGTCATCATCATCATCATCATCATCATCATCATCACCGGGTCACCATCATCATCATCTTCATCATCATCTCATCATCACCATCATCAGGATCATCGACATCATCATCACCATCATCGGGACACCAGCATCATCAGCAATATCATCATCATCATCAACATCATCATCGGAACACCATCACCATCACCACCATCACCATCATCATCAACATCGTCAACATCATCATCATCATCATCATCATCGGGACACCATCATCATCACCACCATCACCATCATCACCATCACCACCATCACCAACAGTATCGACATCATCATCATCATCATCACCATCACCATCATCATCATCATCATCATCATCATCATCATCATCGGGACACCACCATCATCATCACCATCAGCATCAACAGCATCATCATCAACATCAACCTCATCATCATCATCATCATCATCATCATCATCATCATCATCATCATCATCGGCACACCATCATCATCATCTTCATCATCATCTCATCATCACCAGGATCATCGACATCATCATCATCGGGACACCAGCATCATCAGCAACATCATCATCATCAACATCATCATCGGAACACCATCACCATCACCACCATCACCATCATCATCATCAACATCGTCAACATCATCATCATCATCATCATCGGAACACCATCATCATCACCACCATCACCATCATCACCATCATCACCATCACCAACATCACCAACATTATCGACATCACCATCATCATCATCATCATCAACATCACCATCATCATCATCATCATCATCATCATCATCATCATCATCATCATCATCATCATCATCATCATCATCATCATCGGGACACCACCATCATCATCACCATCAGCATCAACAGCATCATCATCAACCTCAACCTCAACCTCAACCTCAACCTCATCATCATCATCACCATCATCATCATCATCATCATCATCGGGACACCATCATCATCATCTTCATCATCATCTCATCATCACCGTCATCAGGATCATCGACATCATCATCATCATCGGGACACCAGCATCATCAGCAATATCATCATCATCATCAACATCATCATCGGAACACCATCACCATCACCACCATCACCATCATCATCAACATCGTCAACATCATCATCATCATCATCATCATCATCATCATCATCATCATCATCATCATCATCGGGACACCATCATCAGCACCACCATCACCATCATCACTTTCACCAACATCACCAACATTATCGACATCATCATCATCACCATCATCATCATCGGGAGACCACCATCATCATCACCATCAGCATCAACAGCATCATCATCAACCTCAACCTCAACCTCATCATCATCATCATCATCATCATCATCATCATCATCATCATCATCATCATAATCATCATCATCGGGACACCGACGGTACACCGGCGGGACACCGGCGGGACACTGCGCGCCACCGGCCCCCGGAGAAGAAACATTTGGTCCGGCCGCGCCTCAGCCGGAGGCGGGGCACCGGCGGGACACCGCGCGCCACCGGCCCCTGGAGAGGAATCATTTGGTCCGGCCGCGCCTCAGCCGGAGGAGACTTTCTTCTCGCCCGCCCACGCAGCTTCGCCTCGCCAGCACGCACGGCACGCACGAACACGAAACCGAAACCGATTTCCTGGTAGGAGGGCTCTCCGTTCCACTTCGATCTCACCCCCTCACCTCCGATGCTGCGCCACGTCAGTGACTTCAACAACTTGCACCCCATCAGTTGCACCCCAGAGGATGCACGCCGTTCGATGTGCCCCATAAGCTATGTCCCTTACGATGTACCAGAACTAAGCAGCACCGCAAGAGTCGCACCACATAATGTGCGCCTCACACGCTGCACACTGCAAAGCGAACCCCACACACGGCACCGCATCGGTTGCATCACACGAGCTCCGCCCACTCATTCTCCCCCCCCGACCCCAACACTTCCGCCCAAGAAGCTGCATCCCGGGGCGCAAGGCCGGACCGCTGGTCGGCATCCGCACGCGAATCCCAATCCGCTTTTGCGACGCAGCGCTGCAGAAACAGTCCGCACGCGCGTCCAAGCAACCCGGGCCACCGTATTGCGAAGCGTCCCGCATGCCAAAGGAGGAGAAGAGAAAAGGTCCGGCCGCGGAGGAGGGACAGGAAGGGGGATAGGCGCCCTCACGCAGAAAAGGGGGGGCGCACCAATCCCAAGACGCTCACGAAGAGGCACATACATATAAGCTTAGGTCGGGCATGTCCCGCTACAGGCAGATTTTCGAGACAATCTCCAGTGCTTCGCCGATGACCGCACAATCCCTAGAGATGGCTCGGCGACGGCGGCGGTGACGACGACGATGACGCTCGACCGTCGAACAGCGACGACGACGACAATCTACGACACACACCCCCGCGGCGAGGCTGGCCTCGGCCGCGGCCACGTCGTCGGGGTTCAGGTCGATGGAGTCCCGGGTCGACGGCGGCTCGGGGAGCGGTGGCGGCGATGGCGGCCAAAACGACGGCGGCGGCGGAGACAACGGCGGCGACAACGACGACGACGACGACGGCGGCGGCGGCGGCCGCGGCGGCGGCGACAAAGACGATGGCGGCGACGACGGCGGGGGCATCAAAGACGACACCAGCGATGGCGAGGCGACCACCGGCGACGATGGCGGTAGCGGTGACGAAGGCGGCAGCGGCGGCCGCGACGGCGGCGACGGTGAGGATGACGTCTCCGCGTCGGAAGTTTGGGGTGCTTCTGAGGGTTCCCGTTGCCACGGCCGGACGTGGCTGTGAAAGCGCGGATGGTCCTCGGGCTCCATTTACCTCTACCACTCCCGGCCGACCTCTCTCAGGTCGAACGGAGCGCTTTCATGCTGCATGGTTGGCACGACCACCACCGCCCTCAACTCTGCACTTTGGCGTACCGGGTGCTCAACTACAAACTGGCGGTCTTCCGGCCGTGGCACGCCGCGTGGCTTGCAGCCGCCGGTTCCGGCCGACAGCAGCAACAATAATTTGATTGCATCTTGTGCATCAGCGACAGCAAGTGATTGCATGTTCTGCATCCTCTCAACAAGTATGCGCTTGTCGGCGCCTTCTTTCAACTATAGTGTTTTCCTTCTTTCCTGCTTCGAGGACATCAGACATCCTGTTGCAGTCAGAGCCGGTGGGAACCGACTTTGAGCGGATTCTGGTTGGGCGACGACGGCGACGATGATGACGAAGACGACGACGGAACAAGGGGCGGACCGAGACCTTCGCGCCGTGGGGGGTTCAATTCACTGCAGGGGGAGGGGGAACAGGAGCAACATCAGGGGGTGGATGAGAGGAATGGGGAACAGGATGAGGAGGAGAACGGGAGGAGGTGGAGCAGAGGAAGGACACCGACAGTGACCACGAGGAGGGCGTCTACGATGACGACGATGCCGCTGGAGACCCAGGAGGCGCCCGAGAAGGCCAGGCGGCGAGGAGGCTTCCAGACCCCCAGGGCCACCAACAGAAAGCAAACCGGCGCAGATTTTCTCGGCTGGGGCCCCTGCCTTTCGATCCTCGCTCCTCGCTCTCCTCCCTCGATCATCGACTCCTCTGTCCCTCCCTCCCTCACCCCCTCCTCCTTCCTCACCCTTCCCTCACCCTCCCTTCACCCACTCCCTCTCCCCCGCCTCTCGCCCTCTCCTCGCTTCTTGAATCTTTCCCTCACCCCCTCCTCCTTCACCCGGGCCCTCGCCCTCTCCTCGCTTCTTCTATCTTTCCCTCACCCCCACCTCCTTCCTCCATCCTCGCTTCCTCGCGCGTGGCCGACCTCCATCCTCGCTTCCTCTATCCCTCCCCTCCCTCTCGCCCTCCGCGAGCCTCGCTCCTCGACCCCCGAGGGGGGGGCGTCCTGCACGGAGGCGAAGTCGGAGCGCGCGGCGTCCGAGTTGCGCGGCGAGCTGCGCGGCGGCGAGTGCAGCTCGAAGGGGCGCTCGAGCAGCAGCTCCACCGCGCGCTCGAGGCTGTTGCCGGACCGGAGCAGGGCCTGAATGCGACTGCCTACCAGACCACCCCAGCCCAACCCGAGGACCCGAATTTCGCCCGAACGTCGGTTTTTTTTGTGGGGGTACGGGCTTCAGATGTGTTTTTTTCAATGCTCCCCGACCCCCCCCCCCGCCACTGGAAATGGAGGGCAAATCGGGGCCTTCGGGTTGGGTTGGGGTGGCTTGGTGGGCGGTGATGAATGGGCAGCAGGCATCGGATTTGTGGTGGGCGGTGATGAATGGGAAGCAAGCATCGGATTAGGACACGGGACCGAATCGGAATGCGCGTCGGACCAGGCCGCACTGGCACCGACTCGGAGCTCGGAACCGACTCGGCCGCGCCAGGATGCACAGCAGCGCCACGCAGGCATCGGGCCGCACCGCATCGGGCCGACCTCCGAGGAGGGGGGCGGGGGACGCGCCAGTGAGCGAGCCAGGGGGCGTCCTGGGGACCTCCTGGGGGCCTCAGGGACGTCGTGCTGCTTCACAGCGTGGGCCCCAAAGGCTTAGACCTTTCGCCCGGGGCGGGCTTCTCATCCCGAGTCGTCTTCTGACGGTCCCGCGGCCAGGCGAGGCGGAAGATGACCAGAGGCCTCCCTCGGGAGCGGCCAAGAGGGGGGTGTCCAAGAGGGGTGTGTGCAAATGATGACTGGCGGCATGTGCGCGGCCCAGCGGGGGGGCCAGGGACGTAATGGAACAAGAGGCGCCATGAAACCTGGGGAACTGTCATGGCCACCGCCATAATATCCCCCCCCTAGTCATCCCCACCCCTCTTTGCCGCTCCCGACTCTCGTCCGATTCTTTCGTGACGCGAAGATGCCCGGGTCCTCGGGGCCCCCGCGCGCTGCCCTGGAAGTGGCGGAGGGAGGGAGACCTGGATGGCTGCTGCCTCTGGCGGGGGCCTCCTTTCGGGTGTTGCTAGAAGTACCCCTGGCCCAAGGTGCCCTCAGCTTTTCGCTCCATTTTGGAGCCCCTGTCGCCCTCCTTTCCTCGTGAGCGTTGCTCTGGAAGCCTTTTGGGCTACCCCGCGAATCCTGGGGGCACCTTGGCCCAGGGAGGGAGACTGGGACGGCTGCTGCCTTTGGCGGGGGCCTCCTCGGCGAGCCCTCGTCGCCACGGCCAGGTCCGCCTGGAAGTCCTGGGCAGAACGCGCCCCCGGAGAGCTCCTGGGGAGGATCGAAGGCCCAGGGCGCTGTTTGGGACGTTTTGGCAAGCAGCGTCGTGCAGAGGGAGACGAGGGGAAGAGGGAACGCATGAAAACCGCCCCCCCCCCCCCGCCCCCCACTTGAGGAACTTTAGACCAACTAGACCGCGCGCGCGCCCCCCCCCCCCGGCGGCAGCTGGCAATTGCCTCGCTTGCAGGGCGCCTACACCTACGCACATTCGCCATACTTGCAAAACGTTGACATGACAAAATTCATTGTTGTGGGAGCTGGGGTCGGTTTCCCACTGCTCAAAGGAGGGAAGGGAGCAGCGAGCACTGAGCGCACGAGCCTCAAACGGCACACCCTCGCGCTCGTGCCTGCTGAGCGGTCACGGCCGCGATGCGCGCGTGGCGCAGCAGGGAACTCGCCTTGGACGGCCCTGCGTAGCTCGGAGACAAGCCCCGGCGAATTCTGCCCAGGCTTGCCGTGGAGCGCGGAGCCGAGGAGCCGAGGAGCGCGAGGGGCGCGAGGAGCGAGGGGCGCGAGGGGCGCGAGGGCCGCGAGGAGCGCGAGGGCCGCGAGGAGCGCGAGGAGCCGAGGAGCCGAGGAGCCGAGGGGCCGAGGAGCCGAGGGGCCGAGGAGCGCGGGGAGCGAGGAGCCGAGGAGCCGAGGAGCTGAGGGGCGCGAGGGGCGCGAGGGGCGCGGAGCGAGGAGGCGCAGGCAGTCCTTGTGTTGGGTCGGGCATGCGTCCCCAGACTTTCCTGTTGGGACTATGCTCGAGCACTCCTCCTGCAGAGGAGCATGCCCGACTTGATCCTTGCGGAGGGCCGCTGCTGCCGCCGCGCCCCGTGGCCTCCCCCGGCGGCGAGGCCCGAGAAGCCCCGCCGCCTTCGGGGAAGGCCGGCCCCCTCCTCCTCCTCCTGCCCCTCCTCCTCCTCCTCCTCCTCCTGCCCCTCCTCCTCCTGCTTCCTCCTCCTCCTCCTCCTCCTCCTCCTCCTCCTCCTCCTCCTCCTCCTCATGACGCGTTGTGCCCGCTGTGCGGCGTGGCAAGGGACACCATTTCCCACAGGCTGTGGTGCTGCCAGCACGAGTCGGTCGCCCAGGCCCGAGAGGACATCCTCGGAGAAAGGTTTCAGTTTCGGCCGCTGGAGTACGACTCGTTGTCGGATGCTGATAAGATAATGTACACGATGGGGCTGTTTACCCACCCTGGTGATATATTCCCACCCCCATCGATGTGCGAGCCCAGCTATGAGCATTTTGACGATCCTGATAAAGACGATTATAGAGTTTCGGGGAATATCTTCATGGACGGTTCTTGTATTCGCTCGGTCATAAGAGAATTATCGAGGACGGGGTGGAGTTATGTCTCGGTGTCCGATTCTGGGCAGGAGCTGGGTCATGTCTATGCCCCCCTCCCCTACCCCATTCCCCAAACGGCTCAGGCTGGTGAATTTGCTGCCTGCACTGCTGCTTGCCAGAATGCTGTCTCTCCAGCTGTGGGGTATAGCGATTGCCAGAATGTAGTAGCTCTGTGGGCCATCCCTCGTAGTGAACACTTGTCGTATAAGCGAGTGCACTCGGATATGTTTGTTTGGACCGCAGACAGTCAAATGGGGCCCATCCATAAAGTGAAAGGCCACATGTCGGACGAGCAGGTGGGTAATGATGCCTATCTGAAGTTCTGTAAGACGGGGAACGACCTCGCCGACCACTATGCTAAGCTTGGGGCCCTAGCTCACGAGAAGCCGAGCCCTGAGCAGCAAGAGTGGCTCGATAAACGCCTGCCGGTCGTTCGCAAGGTTTTTGTTTTGGCTGCCCGTGTGCTGCCTCTCTGGCCTCCGCTCGACTTGTCGGAAGCCACTCGTGCGCCCGTCGAGCCGAAACCAGTGCCAGTCAAAGTGCCCCATCTTTGGAAGAAGGTTGGTAGCTTCTGGCAGTGTAATCACTGCCTCACTGTGTGCCGTGGGGCTTTCCCGCGGGATAATTCGAGTTGCACTAAGAAGCATAAGCTCCAGGTTGACGTCCTGCAGCATCTGGAGCACAATTGTCTTGGATTAGCGTGTTCGGACGGCGGCATAGTCTGTGTCTGTGTCCGTTGTAAGGCGTTTTCCACTGGCAATTACGTTCGCTACCTGGCTAAACCGTGCCCAGGTAGGCCTCATTATATTAGGTGTTCTAAGTACTACTGGGACAGAATTTCGGCTGGCAAGCACCCCAAGCTTTCGGACGTCTGGCTTGATGCGGATGCTAACACTGTTGTTCGTCTCTTTAATACCTCCTAGGCCTGTATCTGGCCCAGCCTCTCGGTCTCGTGTCGCGGGGGCGTGGCCCTGATATATGGTTTCATGGCATGTATGACCCGTCTGTGCCATTTAAGTGCCGTGCTCGACGGCCGCCTGGCTCCCAGTGCCAGGCCGACTGCGGGACGCCGTGGAGAGCAGCGTAGCGGTAAAAAATCCTCCTCCTCCTCCTCCTCCTCCTCCTCCTGCATCCTCCTGCTTCCTCCTCCTGTCTCCTCCTCCTCCTCCTCCTCCTCCTCCTCCTGCCTCCTCCTGCTTCCTCCTCCTCCTCCTCCTGCTTCCTCCTCCTGCCTCCTCCTCCTCCTCCTCTTCCTCCTCCTCCTCCTCTCCTCCTCCTCCTCCTCCTCCTCCTCCTCCTCCTCTTCCTCCTCCTCCTCCTCCTCCCCTGGGCTCGCCGCCGAATGAAGGCAGCGCAGGCCGTGGAGTGTTTTGTTCAATCCCGGCGTTCTTCCTCGACCTATGTTTGGTTCGGTCCTGGCGATTATTTGATCAAATACTCGACGATCTGACTTTGCTCAATCACGGTTTTTTTCCTTGAGTTCGGCCTCTAGAGTCCGTGACCGGGTCCAGTGGCCATCAACATTCGATCCTGGACGAGAAACCACACCCTGGGACATCTCATCGTCGGATGTCTGGGGTCTGGGCTTCGTGATTACGGGAGACGTAAGACGCGGGGGACTGGGGTTGGCCTGACAGGGCCATCATGAAAATGACGAGGCCCGATCTTACATTTGACGCGCGCTCCCGCTGGAAACATCCCACGAAAATCGGACGGTCAAAATCCAGGACGCGCTCGTCAGAAAACGTCGGCAAACCAGGGTTCCCGCTCACTCGAGACTAACGTTTCCCCGACAGATCGACATACGCGCGGACATATGAAAGCTCATGTTTACAAAAGAGTGAGGGGGGGTGGGCCGTCGGAAGTCTGAAAAACTCGAAAGCATTTATGAGTAAACCCGCCTCAAGCGCCGATTTGTTTGTCAAACCACTGCTGGTGGGTCGCCAGTGGGTCGAAGATGGGTCGCGGGCGGGTCGCGGGCGGGTCGCGGGCTGGTCGCGGGCGAGTCGCGAGTGGGTCGCGGGTGGGTTGCTGGGCGAGTCGCGGAGGGGGCGCGAGAAACGGGTGAATCACGGGTGGGTCGCGAGGCGGGTCGCGGGGCGGGTTGTGGGCGGGGCGTGTTCTGGGCGACGACGGCAACAAAAACGGCAAGGAAAACAGTAACGGTAACCCAGTACAGCCACGCACCTAGGGACCGTGCAAGACCGTTCGGGGCCCTCACTCTGATGCAGTTTTTGGTCTCCTTTGATGGGCCTGTTTTCCACCACCACCGCCATAAGTTGGAGGGGGGAAAGGAGGACGAGGAGGAGGAGGAGGAGGACGAAGAGGAGGAGGAGGAGGAGGAGGAGGAGGAGGAGGAGGACGAAGAGGAGGAGGAGGAGGAGGAGGAGGAGCAGGAGGAGGAGGAGGAGGAGGAGAAGGAGGAGGAGGAGGACCCCCTCCCCCTCCAACTTATGGTGGTGGTGGTGGTGGTGGAGAACAGGCCCATCATCCTTCGGCTCTTGCCTCAATCTCCCCAGCGCCAGACGCGCAGAGGGTCCCGCCGAGAAGCTGCCCGCGCCACCGAAGCTGCGTGCAACGACCTGGCGAGCCGAGGCCTCGCACGTGAACGGGCTCGGCCAGACGGGCCCCCCCCCCCTCGGCCCCGATTCGGCGGCGAGACCACGAGGGAAGCGAGAAGGGGCCGGGCTCCTCGGAAGGTGCCAGGGCTTCTCGGAAACCCCCTCGCCCCTTCTGAGAAGCGTTCTGAACCTGCTCCGAAGACGGAAGCGGCTTCTCGGAAGGCCGGAGGGCTTCCGAGAAGCCCCGCCGTCCTCGTGGAGGGCCTGCCCTCTCTCACGGCACCCCTGGACCCTGGGTTCGCCGCCGGCCGATGGCGAGGCAGCGCGCGCGCTCGGGCGCACCCCTGGGGCTGGCGCCTTGCGGGCCAGAGCCTCCTCCACGCCGCACACGGAGGAGACCTGCGGGGGGCGGCGGCCGACACCCCTCGCGCGAGGCCGCGCAGAGGTGAGAGCCCCAAGCCCTGACTTCTTCACGTCGTGGAAGACTCACGACGGGAAGTGTTTGGCAATTTTCGGCTTCCAAGGAACCTCGCTTGCCTGGGGGCGGTCAAACAACGACTCGGGATGCAAACCAGGTCCCAGGAAAATGGGTCCAGTTCTCTGGGGAACCACGATGTGCAGCAAATGGCGGCGTCGGGTGCCTGGGGTGCACGGTGCGGGGACACACCACGCGGTGATGCGGGGACAGACCGTGCGCTGACCTCTAAATCCCGAACGACCCTTCCGCACGGTTCGGCCCCCGAACGGTTTTGGGGACCCTGGGGGCCCCAGTCGCCCGAGGCACCCTTGAACCGCGGAGAAGGACCCAAGTCCCAAAACTGGCGCGCTCACCCCGAATCCCACTGACTCACCAAACGATGTGGTCTGTGGCCGACAAGAGAAGGGGAGAGGGAGAGAGGGAGAGAGACCAGAGCAGCACCGGAATGAAGTCTCCAGGCCGCTATCGGCCGCTAGCCGCCGCGGCCCCCGCGCCCCGCGAGCAACCTGCCTCTCACGGCGCGACGGGGCAGCACTTGGTCGAGCGACGCGGAGCGCAGCCCGCGCAAGGACGAGCGCATCGTCGGCGCAAAAAGGACATGTCTGTATGCTTGTGTATATATATACATACATACATACATACATACATACATACATACATACATACATACATACATACATACATACATACATACATACGTGTGTATACAAATTGTTTTGTTGCCGAAGGGTACTCTTAGAGTGTCTATGTGAAAAAAAACGGTACATTCGAAGGACGATTACGCCGACAGGGCGTACCCAATCCTTTTGCCGGTTGCCGTGAGCGCTGTACCGCGGGCTATATATATACATATATATATATATATGTTTATATTCATATACATATACATATACATATACATATACATATACATATACATATACATATACATACATATCTATATATATATATACACATATAGATCCGCCGGCCTCCCTGAGGGGCCATCAGGCTGTAGGCCGAAGTTGCTGCTCCCTGCACCAGTTGCAGTTTCAAGCCTCCAATGTTACGGTCCTGTTTTCTGCTTTCTACTGTAAACAATTGAAGTCCGCGTGGGGGGGGGCCTAACTTTACCACGCCTGGATCGCGAACTCTGAATTCCTGGGGGGGTCGCGGGACACAGGAGATTACATAATACTCGCGCCCCCGAGGCCATGATCCGTCGTAAATTACGCGGTGCTCGCGTCCCTGAGCCCCCCCCCCCCTTTAAAAATTACTCAAGTGGTTGCGTCCCCGGGGCAACAAACTGTTGTAAATTACACCATATTCGCGTCCCCGAAGCCAGAAACCCTGCAAATTACGCAGTACTCGCACTGCTGAGGGCAAGAATTCTCCAAGGCACCCGAAGATGGTTCCAAGACGGCCCACGGGGGCCCCAAGAGCGCTCCAAAAGGCCTCCCGGGAGAGCCCCGAAAGGCCCAAATCGTAGATTCCACAACAGTGTTTGAAGGATTCTGGCCTTCTGGCGTTTTCGGTTTCCCGATGCTCCAAGACGGCTCAGGAATCTCCCCAGACCGCCCCAAGACAACCGAAGAGGCCTCCGAGAGGGCTCCAAGACGGCCCAAGAAGGCTCCAAAATGCCCCGAGAAGCGCTCAAACTGGCCCAAGAGGGCGCCCAGACGGTTCCAAGAGGGGCCCACACAGGGGACTACGAACCGAAAGCTCGATATTCGCGCCCCGAGGAGCAGCCAGGGTGTTAGCGAAGTCCATAGACTCCCTCAGTTCAGGCGGAAAGCGACAACGTCTGCACGCAAACAACCCTCTCGAGAGAGAACCCAAACAACCTCGATGTCACGCAATCATGTTGCTAGACGGCGCAATATGCCGTCGTCTGATGGCGGCCGCCGATGCCGCAGTCGACATTACAATTAAATCCCTCCCTGTAGGGTCTGAGAGGCAATGGTTATACAGATGGAGCAAAGATGACACAAGTCAGAGGATAAATGCTGGAAGGGTGCGAGATGACTGGTCATAGTAACACCACCCATTACTTCTTCCTAGCTCGCAGCACTCAAATGCGTATCTGACAAAATCCTCCGAACACCCCATGAACAAAGACATCCGCCTCCGCGAGCGCATCGGACGCCTGCTCAAGCTCTGCCGGGGCCTCGTCTGAAAACGCACCGCGTCCAGCCTGCTGCCCGCGCCTGCCTCCTCGGACAAAAAAAACACGCATCACACGTGCACTTCCATTCCGTCTTGCGCAAGAAATCCTCCATGACATGCCGTGCTGGATATCCCGGCTTGGCCATGCTGTCTGCAGGCGTCGTCAAAGTATTGACCCAACGAAGAAACTTCACTGCGAGTGAACTGCTGTTTGATGGCACGAGCCCCCTCGCCACTGCGTGCACTGCGAAGTCCGAATTGCGTGGCCTCCGAACGACTGATGGCATCGAAGGACCGCTTCGAATCTGTAATGAACACGCTGGGCACTCGGCGCACTGCTGCGCCCACATGCCACCTCGGGATCGGCGCCCCATGGATCTCCGCCAGCGCAAGTCGGGTGAGCCACAAACTCTCATCTCCAAAAGCGATAGCTCGGGTCTCCACATAGCTGGACCCTGAAACCTTCTTGGGGAACTTCACTGATCGCCAGGCTAAAAAAGAAACTGGCGCCATCTCTCCGTCGCCGAAACATGGAGCCGCAAGACCTGCGACTGGACCCCCTGTCTTGGAGCCGCCAGGTCGCAGCTCATCGCTCGCGCCTGTCCATGACCCCAAGCAAAATCAAAAGCATGGCAGCGGATGGACTGACTTGCCGTCATCCGCATGTCTCTTACAAGCTCGTTCCCTTCCCACTACTCATGGATTGTCGCACTGGGCATATTTGAAAGGTAAAGGCCCGCATCGACTGCATGCTGCGGAGAAATGCCGGGCCCTCCAACTCGCGGTACCTACACCGCATCTCCTCTGAGAAACCTCCTTCGGACTCAACTGTTCCCGTGGTGTCCGCTTGCGGTCTTGACTGGTCTCGGCCTCCGTGACAGATCCAGCGCGATGGCGCAATCACTGCACTGTCGGACTCGAATCCCAATGAACTCGGCCTGTCCCGATGACCGCGCACCCCAACGACGCGTCTGCTGAATCTCCAATCGTGACTTCTTGCACAACCACTGCGTGCACTTGCAATAATACATCGCCCCGACGCACGCCGGCGATGCCACGTTGGATGCCGTCGGTGCCCAACAAAGTCCATGGGCACTGGTCGGTGCAAAGCTGACGCCGCCCCAGCTTGCTCAACCTGGCCGAAATATAGTTCAACCGCGCCGTGGGAACCGTGGTGAGGCCGTAAAATGACGACCGACCGAAAGATGGCGGATGGTCCGCCGAGCTCGCCACTGAAACGGTTCGCCAACTCCAAAAGAATCTTCGCGACGAGGTTCTTGAAATCTGATTCCTCGTCCGCCCGCAGAAACGCCGAAGAAATGTCGCCATGCTCAGGCTTGCAACGACGCAGGGCGCGCGTCTGAAACAGGAATTTCCGAGCTAGCTTTCCCAACTAGGCGCCGAGGTAGCCAGCTCCGTGAGCTGAGGATGCTGGCGCCCCAGGATGACTCGGCGAGCCTTCGCCTTCCTGGAGCCACCTTCCTGGCACTTCCATGTGAGAACCCAGCGCACCTTCACCATCTGCTTCGCGTTAATACCCTTCAACTCTGCGGACCGAACCCTTTGGGGACCTTGGAGATCATCAAGCTGCGCCTGCTGCCCCGGGCCCAGCTCGTTGAAGCCCACCTCCGTGGGCTCGCCGTCGCCAGGCCTCTTCGAGAGCCACGGGTTCGGATCCCTGAGGAAATCGCTCGGCAGCACTCGCGGTGCTCCTCGCTCTTCTTGGAGAACGTGATCGGCTCGTCGTTATCCTGCTGGTGCAGCCCCAACTGCCTGCCGATATCGGGCTCCTCGTTGCCCGCCTGATGCACGTAGTGCTGTTGTCGCCAGTCTGCAAGTCGCGCAAGTAGTCCAACTCATCGAAGCGCGCTCGCTTCTGAGGAGGCTTGTCATCTGCAAATGTATCTTCTTCTCTGGAATCCTTTGGAGAAGCCCCGGGTACAAGTTCCAGCATGGGAGACTCGTCGCTCTGATCCGCGGCCTGCTTCGCATCGGATGTACCGCAATATTGCCTGTCGTTGTGGTCGCCGCCAATCTCCGTCGTTGCGCTGGCTTGCTTCGTCCGATCTTCTCCTCCAATCACCCCGCGCGGGCGTTGCTTCCGTCGCGGCCTCCCCCTCCGAATCGCACTCCACGCAGGTCTGTCCGACCTGGCTGGCACAGGGATCGCCCCGAAAGACTCCCTGTTGCTGTGCTGGTCGGTCCGCGGGTTGCTGCGTTGATTGATCGGTCGGTAGATCGTCTGATTGGTCGGTCGGTGGTCGGTCTGTCGGTCGGCTGGTCGGTCTGATTCGTCTAATGCGTCGGTCGGTGGCTGGTCTGGTAGGTCGGTCGGTGGTTGATCTGGTTGGTCGGTCGGTGGCTCAGGATGATCAGGTAGGTCCCCGAGCGACTCGGCCACCTCTCTCTCCGATGGCAGGCCCCCTGCCAAGTCGACGTGCCCCCTCTGGCCCGACCTCTTGGGCATCTCGCCCATACGTGGAAGCATTCCTGTCGAGATGCCCCCCTTGATGGAGGAAGCCACCGCCTCGCGCTGACTACAATGTCGGAATTGAGTCGTGTGCCATGGGCGACCAACACCACCGAGATGGTCTCCATCCTGTCCGACTCGCCACCGATCTTGCTGCTGGAATCCGCCTTGGGCTCGAGCGCCGCGACCCAGGCAGGGCCGAGCCAACCGCCTCGAACTCCTCGGCCCTTACCTCGTCGCGAACATAATCCAGTCGCCCGGCTTGCACTCGCTCCTGCGCTGCTCCTCCAGGTAGGTCTTCTCCGC